TAGACCAGCTCCGACAATGTAGTATCAAGTGCTATTTTATGTGCACATATTGCATTTCGGATGGATAATAATTTTTATTCGATTTTTGTGATTTTCAAAAATATGCATCTTTGAAACAAAAATCGGAAATGGCAGTTTTGCAGAAAAAATCCTGTCTCTTTATGCGTATATCAAATTCATTCTGTTTCAAGGAGGCAGTTTTTCAGAACAATGAGGATTCCCTATTTGAAAAACAGAAAACTTGACTTATTTTGCTATGTGACTTATTTACATTTCATTTAATGGCAAATTGGACGTCGATATGCAGTTTCTAAATATTGTTCTACACTGTGCTGTATATACCGTCGTATCTGAAAAAATTTAAGACCGTTATCTGTTACTCAAAATTTTTCTTTTAAACTGCTACAACTTTAGGGAAAATAACAAAAAAACTACAACACCCTCTTTTCATTTTACCCTTGGGGCCAAATGGGGTAAAAAAAAAAATCATTTTTCTACAAAAAGCTGGTTCCCTAAACTCCTCTTATATTTTTCGCCCATTCATCCCTTGGTATGACTAGGAGTGTCCTGTAGATGTGCAGTAAGGTTTTGGAATTTCGATTTTCACCCTGGGGCGATTGGGGGTCAAAATTTTTTTTTTTTTATTGAAAACCTTGTTCCCTCAACTCCTCTTACATTTTTGCAGTTCCCCATTCATGGAATGCGATTAAGAGTGTCCTGTAGATGTGCAATAAGGTTTCAGAATTTCGAACCATCTTTATCAATCAACATGATATGAATGGGTCCTGGGCACAGTTGCATTGTTTACATTTTAAATTTCTATGCTTATTCAAAAAATAAAAACAGTTAAATGATTTTAACCTACATAAATGTTTCAGCGGGTGTGTTCAGTTTGTTTAACTCTGCACACATCACTGAGCACGGAATGACAATACTGATGAGTTGGTTTTGCTTTCTCAAATTTCTACTCTGAATTTTCTGGATTAAAGTTTTAATATTTTTCATTAATACACAACAAAAATAAACTTTTCTTAAGTATTAAGAATAAAGTTTACTTTGCGAAAGTGCAAGGATGTGTCAATCAAAGGCGTTTCGAAATTCGAAGTTTCAATAATTTGCAGATAAAAGAAGTTTCTGAACACGCTGTTATTATATTTTCGTGTGAAATGCTATAGCAACATATAAGTCATGATATTATACAGAAAATTTGAGAAAATAACTTCAAATCTGTGTCCTTTAAGTACAACGTACATATACAGGCTATACGTTATTCAGTGGATAACAGTCAATGTTAAAAATATGTCATTAAAATCGGAATTTTTACGCAGAGAAAATGCAAAATAATAATTAAATAAATAAATATTTTTTCATGGGTGAAAAAAAAAGAAAATTAAAGTAAAGCATATAGTTGGGACACTGTGTGCGCGACTTTGTTGGCTTCATTGACGTCGCTTTTATCTATTGTAACGTAAAATTCTGTCAGATACCTTAAGACGGTTTTTGCTCGTAACAACTCTTTTGAACCATAAAAACTCTTTTCAACAATAAAATATTTGCCTTGGATCTTGGATTTCATAGACAATTCATAAAGTAATAGATTACTGCCCTTGCACTCGACATTTTTTTTTTTTTTTTTTTTTTTTTTTTTTTTTTTTTTGTTGATTTCAAGAAAATGAATTTTGCCTAACATGCACATCTTTCATGTTTATAAAAGATGCAGTCTGGGGATGACAAATTTTGAATTAACAGAATCTAAATTAGTCAAAAACGCTATGGAAGAGGTAAATGGCTTCGTTTACGGTCCATCTTTTGAGGAAGAAGCAAAATGGAGAAAAATAATTGCCATGATTCACTAAAAAATGCTTTTGATTAAATGAGTATCACTGGAAACGAGGCATAATGAAACTCTTGGGTAAAAAAGGTCTGGAATCGGTGTCAATTAGCAACTTTAGACACGTTCTAGCTCATGTGCAACTATTCAAGTTTATGCCGTTGTCAATAGAATGTCTCACTAAAAAATCCCTCTTCTCATTGTAATAATTAAAAGGAGATGCACTTAGATTTCACCGTAATTAATGATCAATGTGGAGTAGTCTTCTAGAAATTTTATCAGGTTAATAGACGAATTCTGCCATTGATACAAATTGTCTCTTGTACGTGTTGAAAAAAGAGAGAGAGCGATATTCTGCGCGTGATCAAGTAAAATAAGGGTTTAATACATAGTATTTAAGTACCTATAGATAACATGGAATTTGTCTACATATTTCGGTAAACATACGTCATATTAGGTAAAATTGTTCAGTCTGTTTTAAGGTAGAACAGTTCTCTTTTCACTACAATGGAAATTTTCCATTGAATTTCAAGAATTTTTTTTTTAATACCCATAAAAAAATTAATTCTGAAAAAATCATTAATAGAATGACAATCTACCTTAATTTTTCATTCGCCAATCCATCAAGTCTACCTTACTTTTTCACTGGTCGGTCAACCTTCCTTTGTAATTGGTAGGTCAACCTTAATTTTTAATTGGTCGATCAACCTTAATTTTGATCTGGTCAGTTCACCTTAAGTTTGCATTGGTCGGTCAACCGTATTTTTTCATTGGTCAGTCAATATTACTTTTTTACTGGTCGGTCAGCCTTAAGTTTTCATTGGTCAGTCCACCTTACTTTTCAATGGTCGATTAATCTTGCGTTTTTATTTGTCCACTAGGAGTCGGTGAAGATCTGTTTGCCAAAATATTTCTACTAGAACTACTTTGAGAAAAGATGGAAGATGTTAAAGTGCAACTATAGATTATTTCGTTTTAATTGACTTAAAGATTACAAATACAGATAGACAGAAGCCTCTGTTGTCTGAGGAGTGCATTTTTTAAAATTTCAGTGATTGTTCAGGAGCGGATTGCTTTTTTGTCGAAGGAGGATGGGTTGATGTGTCTGCAATTAAAGCGGACATGCCAAAACACAAGTCATAATTGTTGTAGGAGGTGGAGTAGTGAACCATCTCTTGACAGTCATATAATTTTATTTAGTAAATCTGCATTGTTAAATTACTAGTCTGGTACCTTTCCCACAATTCCGTTCGCGCACTCTCTACATTGCGCGAACGGAATTGTGGGAAGGGTACCAGACTAGAATGGAAATTGCGAGCACATTAAAAATCGATTTTTTTTTTATTTGCTCAAAGCTTTTCCCTCCTTGGACAGGGAAACTGGTTAAAGAAAAAACTTCTTACGTGTATTCTGAAACATATTTCAATTGAATATTTGTTTTGAGTAAGAACTGAAATTTTCCCATTTTGTCATCAGTTTTCGGTTTAATTAAATGCGATTTCTGTATCAGTCTGTCAATCAAATGACCACGTGATTTCCTGACGTAAATTCAAAAACGATTAATTAGCGATTCCCATTGGATGGAAAAGTGGGTTATGTTTCTAATTAATTGTAAAAGTCGTTCATCGAAGAGTTAACAAATGATGTGGTTAAACTATTTTTCATCGAATTAAATGTATTACGACTACACGAAAAGAGCACTGGTACGTCATACACCCATGCATTTTCAAATCGACTATAAACTGATAAACAAAACATGATTATTTATGTTCTTAACATTAACACTGATTATTATAGTGTGCATTGTGGCAATGCACTTTGAAAAAAAAATTGCGTTAAAACTGGGACAAAATCAACGCACTTTGAAAAAATTTTTCAAAGTGCATTAAATTTGGTACAAAATCAACGCACTTTGAATTTTTTTTTTTCAAAGTGCGTTAAGAGTGCACATCTACATTTTTTACCAAGGAGACACTTAACGCACTTTGAAAAAATATGTATAAAAAAATCTGGACTTAGATTTTTAGTAATAGACGGCATTATTTTGTTAGTATATTTCTTTCGAAAAACTGATGAAATTATCTACCCTTATCGAGAACAAGGAGAAGACAGGTAGAAGGCGCAACTCTTTATCTTTCCTACCCAAACATATGCATTAACGTAACTGGTATGACAATGATATACTTTCCTTCAATAAATTTGAGTTAACGTAAAACAGATGAAAAAAATTCAGATAAGCTTTCCTAAAAAAAAAAAACAACAACAACAAACAAACAAAACAAACGAATCCTATTATATTAAGGACGAGAGGCTCAGGGGCCATATCACTGATCTATAAGCAACAATAACCAACTGACTATATTTTGGCCAAAGTAGCTTTAATAAATCAAATACAATTAAAAAGACAAACAAATCAAAAAACCTTGTATCATCTTCAAGTCCAACAATGAAATATGTGGAGATAACGAACAGTATTCGAGCTCAAAAGTCCATTAAACATTACAAAATAGGAGCAGAGCAAACACGGACCTCTAAGACATCAGAATGGGATCAGGTGCCATGAAGGAGTGAGCATCCCCTACCGACCGGTCACACCCGCCGTATGCTCCTTGTCATGATCGGGAAATAACGCATATATTGCCCTCATACCCAGTCAGTAACTGTATTCATAACCGTGCATCTTCATTTTCAAAGAAAATTGATGGACTGACATTTAGCGGAAAACACTGTTCATTGCTTAAAATAAAACGGGGAAAAACTTCAAAAATAAAGTGCTAAATTAATTTATTTTGGTCTGGTAAAAATGATAGGAATGCTCAAATTGTAGTTTTTATTTTATTTGATTTTATATATGATGAGAATAGTCACTGATCTCTGCTAACTGCATAAAACTATACAACTGAATTAGAACAGTTACTCTTTAGTGTGCAGTGTACAGAAGGTCCTTAAAATTGAATAATTAAACATAATTTATTTAATAATTTAATTTAATTTATACTCAGATATGACTTTTGTGTTACATGGACTTCATCAGCTGTTCATTGTGTCATGATTCAACACAAAATGTTCGACCAATTTAAAATCGGGTTCGGTATTCGCATTGATATGAAGTTCGAATTTTTGCTGTCAACACCGAACACATGGGATTTAGAGTGGGTAGTTTAATAGCAAAAGGAAGACAAGTTCCAGACTGTTTTGCAATATTATCACTAGTCGACACATGTGATTCAAATTTCTAACGTTGAAGTGATGAAATTCTGGACACTTTAAGTATTAAGTAGGAAGTATGGTCCTGATAACAGTGATGAAAAATGTTGCAAAACTTCCGAGGCACAGCTGCAGTATTCCTGGTTGTATCCCTTCTATGTGTGTTAAAAAAATATTTCACAGGTCTAATCATAACCTGTCTGCTGAGAAGAAGTTTGACGTCATAGTGGTCGGGGGAGGGCATGCAGGGACGGAGGCTGCATGTGCTTCAGCGCGGATGGGGTCACGTACACTACTCCTCACCCACAAAATCAGTACAGTAGGCAAGAAAAAAAATATCTAGTAATAGATTACATTATGTCATAATACAGAGACACAGGAGTACAGGTAGTGTATGGTGTGAATACATACTGGAAATTAACCCTGGTATATTTTGTATAATTTGGCCAAAACATACAAAAATGAATCATGTGGAAGCCTGTAGAATGTATGTAAAAATATAGGCTCCCTTTCTCTACTCGCAAATATTGTAAAGGATTTACTGTCACTGTGTACACAAACTGCTTCAATTAAACGTAATTGAGAAATAAGGAAAATTTTAAAAACAAATTATATCTACTGTTTTTGGTCTAAAACATTACATATCTTCCTGATTTAAAAATGAAATAGTTTTTGTTAAAACAAAAGATGACAGCTTCTTGGATCTGCAGCAAATGCTAATTACAAGGTGCTCCTGTATGTTTGGTAACCATTTTCTCTTGTATAAGTTTACAATATAATAATTTTACTTTAACCTTGTTTGTAAATACATCCTCTCATTGGTTGTATTTTGTCTGACATATGTTTCATACCATTTGATAGCTAGGTCATTGCTTGTATACTAATTTTGACTTTGGAGTACTCCATCTACCTGACCAATACAAAAGGCTCAGGGCTGGTTTGACCGGTTGACAGGGGATGCTTACTTTTCCTAGGCACCTGATCCCACCTCTGGTGTTTCCATGACTTGTTTTTTTTGTCTTGTTCACGATTCGTATTTTTTACTGGATTTATGAGATTGGTCACCATTCCACTTTCGTTATCCTCACCTTTACATGATTACACAATACTTTTACAATCATTATTTTACTATGTTTGAATCTGACAGCTGCTGATGTTACTATTTTAGAAAAACAAAAAAATTTTCAGAATGAAAATAAAAAAAATTATGAAACTATCTTAATTCTTTTCATTAATTCCTAGTAAAAGTTCAGTTGCTATCATGACTATAATGATGCTGATGTCAGATATGATACTGTATTTTATACAAGAGAAAAAAAATCTTGTGCAAGAATTCACAGTTCTTTTTTGTGTACAATAAAGCCTTTTTTCAGTTTTGTAGATAACTTGACATTTTGTGCATTATTCAGCTTCATGTGTATGATTTAATTGTGCACCTTGTAAAGTAACAAGGCGGTCCTACTAAACAGATTACCCATAAAAAACTTTTATTAAGCTATATTTGGTGAATTCAAATAAATGTTATGCATAATTGCATTGATAATCACTTTATACATCATATTCTACTGTATTTATAAAATTGATAACATATTTGTTTGTTTATGAGTGTTTTCCCTCTAATATTTTTAGGTGAGATGTCATGTAACCCCTCCTTTGGGGGGATAGGTAAAGGTCATCTGATGATGGAGGTGGACGCCCTGGATGGAGTTTGTGGCAGAGTCTGTGGTAACTATATATGATATTAAATGACTTCAGAGTTCTTTCTTAAGTCTCACATTTACTGGTTTATGATTAACTTTTCATCTGCAGATAAAACAGGGATCCACTACAAAATGCTGAACAGGAAGAAAGGGCCAGCTGTCTGGGTAAAAAAAGACTGATGCATACACCATGATACAGGTGACTCTCGATCTCTCGAACTTCAAGGGACTGCAAGAAAAGTTCGAGAGATCAAGGGGTTCGAGAGATACAAAGTGAATAAAATCCGGAATTTTCAGTTCCGACCATCATTGTTCTACTATTATAAATACCGGAAGTATATGTTGATAATGTCACTGCACGTTTCCATTCGTATTTTACAGGTCATTCACTTGATTTCAACAACAATGATTGTATTTTGAATAAATAAAACGATCTCTTTAAGTTTCAATATTTATTTGTTCTCATTTCATGATTACATGAAACCTGAATAGCAATCGTCGGTGTTGCTATCCCCCGGTTTGATCGGGTCCTTCACCAGATTTCTCGTATTAAATCGGTATTCAATTCTTGAGATAGGATTTCTTGTGCAATGTTTGTCATACTGGGATTATGTAGACTATAATAAAACTTCATAATCTACGGAAAATTATTGACACGTCTCTTAAATTATTTTCTAAAAATTATCGTCTTGCTGTCAAGTCAAAATAAGTTGGGAAGCAATTCGCTTATAAATTACCAATTATAACCAATGAATTAAATTTTATCAAAACTCAGACGACTCAAAGGTGTAGTGTCATCTATGTAAACACCCAATTAACACCTCCATGCCAGCCCCAGACATTCACTGTTATCCAGGTAAGTCAAAGTTACATTAATTTCACGCTTGATTGGAGTGTACATCCGCGCAATAGAGAGTAAAAAACAATGAAATATGTGTAATGGGACCCAGGTCTTGGTTCGAGAGATGGAAAACTTCGAGATATCGGAAGTTCGAGAGGTCAGAAGTAAATTTGCTTAGTTATATAGAGTAAAAAAACGGGACCGGAGATTCACTTAGAGAGATCGAGAACCTCGAGAGATAGGAGTTCGAGCCATCGAGAGTCACCTGTATTATGTATCTGATTTACATTATAGATATTTTTTAAAAAAATGATATTTAATAGAACTTGTAATAGAAATTTATGACTAGAAAATAAATAATTAAGTTTGTTTTACTTTGATAGGGGCCTCGTGCCCAGATTGATCGATTAATGTACAAAACAGAGATCCAAAAAGAGGTATTCAACACCCCAAACCTTATGGTGATGGCAGGATCTGTGGAGGACTTTATACTGGGACAAAGTCAGAGCCCAGACCTCCCTACCATGAAACAGACGTGTTCAGGAGTCATACTAGGTAGGATAATTAACGTCACAAATAGGTACAGTTCAATTTAATCCGTCTGACCTAGTTCATGTAACCTGGTATATGAACTTTTGTTCATCCTAGTTTCCATAATCTTTAACTGCAACAATTTTATTAGCTCATCTGGGTCAAAAGCTCAAAAAAATCTTTTCTCAGCAATGAGTGTCTAGCATCCTTCTGTGTTAAAGACAGGTTTGTGTCAATCTTAAAAAAAGTTGTCCCAATTCAACTGGGCTACACCTGTTGGCATTTGTAAAGTAATTATATATATATATATATATATATATATATATATATATATATATATATATATATATATATATATATATATATATAGTGGCGCCGCGGTAATCCGGACGCCAATAATCCGGACGCTTCACCTCCCTAATGTAGATTTTCCAAAGGGTTTGGAAAAGTTTTGGAATTCCATGGAATTCCAAACATTTCCATACAAGAGTCTAAAAGTGTTTTTGGAAGTTTTTGGAATCTTTTGGAATTTGAATAACAAATTTGGACTTAGACATTTTGAGGTTTGGAAAGTTGTGGAATTCTATGGAAAAGCTGATAAAATGAGAAACTTAGACATTTTTATTTCTGCTCTGGAAAGCTGTGGAAAATAACTTAGAATTTTTTCTTAAACTGTCGGCTCATAGTACAATTACGTCGGGATCGATGTCGGGCTCGATGAACAATTAATTTAAACTACAGCCCGCCAAAATTCAACAATTCGGCTGCCATGTTGTATTGTTGGACAGAAGGAAAGAGAGTGTCACAAAGAAGGGAACTGCTGTCATTATTAGCTTGGAATGGAATTTGTATTTTGACAAAAGATGCAGACATTTTAAGACCCGGTAGGTACAATGTACAGTAATCAGTATTTTATGTGTTCTTGAAGTTGAATGGATAATTGACTGTTCCGACAGTCTGGGCACCACACACATAGAATGCCCGACGATGAAACCATTAGGGCGAGTTTCATTTCTTTAGTAATTATTGTACAACTCTAAACATCTCTTATCAAAATATGTTTGAACAATGTGTGGATTTCAACCCGAATTTCCTCCGTTCGTACATGTCCTTAGACCCCGCTATATATGCTAGTGGCACGTTGCCAATTGCGCCACGACAGTCCATGTTACATCGTACACAGACATCATAACACTATTAGTGTCTCCAATATGTTGCAACATGCAACATCTAAATTGGCTATCTTTACCATGTTTACAACAAAGAAAAAACGTGTAGACGGTGGTAGACTAATAATGCTCTATAAGCTGTCTATATGATATAAAGTTGTGCACAACTTAGTTGCAGTAGACCCAAGCCTCTATTTAGTTTCACAGACTACCACCAACAAAGGCATTTCAAGTCTTCCTTACTTTCAGACCTTTAGTACTTGCACAGATAATTTAAATATAGTCCCCCCCCCCCCCCCCCATTATGGAAATTTATTTCTCTTCCATGCTCAGTGGTGTCGGCAGCCTCTTTGGGGCCAGTTCAGAACTCTGGTCCGAATTATTAGCTAATAACATTCCTTAGTACATGTACTACTTACATTTACAGAGTACATTGTAAATAATTGTATCTATTTTTTAATGCATGTTCATGATCATTCACAGCACTTACTTTTATTATTTTATAGCTGAAGAACTCGATTTGCACAGCGCCGGCATATAATCATCAAGTTTTATGAAATGTCCTAATATGTAGATGTAGATGCTAAGTCATTCAGTCACCTAGCTTGTGAGAATGGTGAGAGCCTGCTCAAATTATCATTCAGCACAAATAAACTAACATTGTTTTTATTAATTAATGTTTTATAGCGTAAGATTTTTTTTATTGAGCAAGTAACAAGAGGTTTATATTCTTAATTCCTTAATAATGCATAACAATTATAACTTTTGACAGGTAATCTAAACATGCTAAATGCTACATGCATAATCATTTTACATTTTATTTAAGTATAAATATTAAAAATGACTATACTCTATGACATAAAATCATGCATGCATTATTTACAGGAATGCTCACAAAAAGGACAAGAGCGAGAGAGCTGTATGGAAATTTACACAAAGGTAAGATTTTTTAATCATTTACCTAATCAGTAAAATCAAAAGAATTGAAATTATGTGTTTATCAATGTTAGCCAGGCATTGAGAAAAGTTATTATGAACCTTAGACTCCACTCTTTCAAATATATTTTAGTTATTTTAAGAAGTTGCTTTTAACTTGTTTCCTATGTCAGTTCTCTGTCCTGTTCACAAGTTTTTACCTACGCCTTGTCAATGTCATTCATCATATTCTTACACAAACCTATAACCTTAGTCGCAGATATAAATTTCCAGAAATAAAGAAGTACATGTATACATGTACTAATATATTATCTTACTCAATTCTGAATTGTTGAGGCATGGAAGTTACATGTATTTATAACAGTTTATTTAATATTTTCTTAATTTTTCAAAAATAAAGTATATGTACATGTACATGTATTTGCACGTTTGAAGCCTAGAACAAATGTATTCTATATATTCACTTTATGTTATTTGCTTTGTCTATATTTTTGTTACATTGTAAATTAACCAATGTGCATTTAAAGCAATTACATATGCCTATAAATTCGTCTTTTCATCTTTTCAAGGGTCAGTTAACGGAGTAAGCTGATATGGAGGATAATATATCAAAGGCAGCATAGGCGTCCAAACTCATGTTCAAGGTGCTTTTAATCAGAAGCTTAAGAGACAAAAGACGAGCCATTGACAAGGCAAAACTGAATGTTTTATATGGTATATAAATTATATTTACTAATGTACTTTTTTTCATACCTTAACTTTATTTGCTGAATGTTTTTAAGGGTACATAGTTTATATAATTTACAATGTTCTCTCTCATATTCAAGGTTAATTTACTTAGACACAATCATGTCTCTTTATTTTTTTTTAATTTCACAACTTCCATTAGTTTAAAAAGAAATCAATCCTAATCTGAACAAAAAATTACAAGATAATAAATTCCTATTCTACAGTATTAAACTGATCTGCCAGGTTGAAAGAACCAATTGTCTTATATAGCTTTAGTTTATTATTTGTCATATATTTATACATGAGATAGATATACATCTTTATGGTAATCTTTTCTTTCAGAAATTGAGCAAGAAAAGTTTGAAGTGTCTTTGGGAATGATCAACATCAAACTTGCTGAGCTTTTGAAGCCGTCGTACCAAAAGTGAATCCATTCGTGACACCAATTATCTGACCACCCTCTAACAGAACCAGTGAGGAAGTGATTCTAGCCAATACTTCAGAAGTTTAGGACCCTCAATAATTAGGATCTTGGGGCATGTTGGAGAAAAAAATAGCATGTGTTGATTTTCTGGGATCTTTCAAATATAGTTGTGTAGTAGATATTTGTGTACTTAATACATATGTTTGTCACTCTAGTCATTAACTTTGTATGGTAAATGTATATGGACCACTGGAAGATCATTGTAACTGTATACAAATGTTGCAAATATACCCTGTTAAGGCTTTAGTGACCTTTCCCAAGGTCATTCAATGAAGCAAAAGGTCATAATTAATGTTTTTTTTAAAATCTATTTTGTTTTATTATTAAAAAATGTCATATGTTTGAGATTACTCTAGGTACAAAGGATTTTCTTTAACCAAAAGTCATTTGTTTCTCATGCAGACCGTAATTTACTACATGTACATGCATGTATATTATAATAATTCTCATTAATTAAACCAAGGTGATCATCCAGTAATGATATTTTTCTGTGGATTTTTAACATTGTTTAAATAATCTTTGATGTAAAATACTTTCATTGATAATACTTTTTAAAATTTGTGCTTTCATTATACATAGAAGTGTGTATGCAATATTTGTCCCCAAACACATTGTAAAGCAAAAATGATTTTTTATTTTGAAAATATAGATTTGATTTATGAAAAATTGTGATGTAGTCATTTTTTTTTTGTAATTATTTGGCCCTTAAATTATTTTGATTATTCCAGTTTTTGTATTTTCCTGGAATTCCTTGGATTTCCGTGGAATTCCATAGATTTCCAAATATCCTGGAATTCCATGGATTTCCAGCTATTTCCGCAAATTTCTATTCTGGCATTGTTCCGCTCTTTTCCAGGCTAGATTTGAAATTCCATACCATTCCAAAAAAGTTCCGTCCCAATACTCTCGAGAATTCCTCGGAATTCCATGGAACACTTTTTCCATGGAATTCCACGGAATTTGTTATGGAATTCCACGGATCTTACGGAAAATCTACATTAGGGCTTCCGGACGATATTTTTTGGGAACCGATTTTTTCCACGTTATTCTGTCTCATTAATCCGGAAATTCGCGTTCCGGATCCGGACGGTCAATTTCTACTACAAAACGTAAAATTTCATTGAAAAATGACTCGTTTATCCGGACGGTAATTTTTCGAGGAACGACTTTTCACACCTTTCTTGCAGTAGTGATAATTATTGTAAAAACATTGTCCGTGGAGTCAGTTTGAAGGCGGTTACCTGTGACCTCTAAACAATAGCGTCTATAATTAGCGTGCGTTTACCTCAGACAAAACACATGTCTTTTATATTATAAAGCCCGAAGAATTTAGCTTATACTGTGCATTAATTAAATTGCTAACGGTATATAAATTTATTAGAATTTTGGAGAGTTGTAAATAAAATTTGTTACTGAATAATAAATCACGAGATTTCGTTGTGGTATCGTGTTGCGTAAGTTTATCAAAATACGATCGTACATTATTTGAAACGTGTTTTTTTTTTTCTTTTCACAATTTATTATTAAACATAATTCAAGAAAATATATTTCTATTAATGCACTAAGAAATACGTAACTGGCGTTAGTTATAAATGCCGATCACGTCTTTTCAAGATATATAACTTAAGAGTTTATAGAAAATGTATTGATTATCCTGAATATGGCTTGTGTTTATGTTGAATGTTTGCAATACGTACACTGATTACAGTATTTAGTTACTTACTTCCCTATGTAGTGAATATACGCTGTTAGTCATTTGAACATTCTCAATGGTGATAATGAAAAGTTCTACTTAATATGAGCTTGAATAAATAAAAAAAAATGTGCCGAAATAAAACAGTAGCAGATCTAAATTTGGTCAGCCCATGTAACTACACGTCAAATAGAAGGCGAGTAAAGTTTCCAGTGTTAGAAAAGGAAGTCTCAACATAAAACTGCCTATCCATTTTTCATCGTGTAAATTACATTTTATTTTTTTATTTTTTAAATTTTGATTATTTCTTTTAAAACTATAACAATAAAATCAATAAGTCAAGGTAAAATAAAGGTGTTTTCTTTGCCTTCACATTTGATACCACTATGTTCATGAGTACATGCTTTAAGAGGGTACGTCTTTTAAGAAGTGATTCACTTATCCGGACGATTCATTTATCCGGACGATTTCGTTGGGAACGGAGGCGTCCGGATTAACGAGGCGCCACTGTATATATATATACATGTATATATAGGATCTCCCATGATTTATAGTTAGATATGATTTTTATCCATCAAGTTGTGTGCTATTTTATCCCCGAGCCTTGGTGAAGGGATAAAAAACACACGAGTTGGATAAAAAATCATATCTAACTACAAATCATGGGAGATTCTTTTTATTCCATGTTTTATATATCACTATCAATATTTTACACAGTTTTTATTTTGGAATTCACTTTATTTTACTTCATCACTTTCACACAAAACCCATTATGATATCACAGCAGTGGGATATGAAAAAAATATCCACTGAGTGATATCCACAGGATAAAGGGGTAACATGGGATAAAACTATGTCTACTTATTAACGTCTCTGTAATTGAGAAATAACAAATTATGTCTTTGCATTGCTTATGTTAATTCAACACTGTGGTGGTTCAGTATGACACAGAATTACTGAGTAATATCAGAAGGCAAACGTTATCAAAGAATCACATGTTTTGAAACTTCATTGCTTAAACTCTATGTCAGATAGATAATACATAAAAATTTACGCTTTTTTGTAATTGTTATGAGAAAACAGTGTTTGCTTAGCCTTAATTAATCTAATCCACTTAAATGTTACTGTATCCAAGATGGACTTTCAATTTTGGGTATTTTTCTGTGTCGTATATAGGTGAAATAATGAGCACATATACACATATTTCTTGAAATTTCACTTGTTTCTAGTTCTAATTTTCCATGTTTTGTTACCAAGGCAGTATGACAAATAATTGCGTTCCATTCATACAAATGTTTTAACAAATTGTGGGTTTTTTTCACTAAATGTCATATTTCACTAACTGGCATATTTTCAAAACAATTATAGAACACTTTTTGAAAAAAATTGTAAAAGATTTTAAAAGAAGAACTAAACATTAATTGGTTTCATTACTGACTCTCTACTGCTATTCACTAACATTCTGATACCCTGAAAGTTTTGTTTCATGCTTTTAAGACCTCATGTTTGTGAATAGATAGTTATACAAAAATTGTAACTTAAACAGCATCAACCGAATTTTTCAGCAAGTCAGAATAATACTTATTAGATTGTTTGTGACTGTCTGCAAAAACATATTGCCTTGCAGTCTATGAGATTGATCAACCTGATATATTTTTGTAGATAGTCACTAACAAACCTAATAAGTGTTTTGTTGAGGACCAGTAATAGTTAACAATCCTGTGGATCATTTCAATTAAAGGATTTTTAACCGGTCTCTCCTTCAATCTTCACTAATCATTTTGTTGTTTACTGATAATGTCACTGAAAGGGGTGCTACTCTAACTTTAATAGCAGCACTGCCAAAGAGGTAAGGATGTGAATACATGTAATGTTTATAAGTTTCTTCTAAAAGCAAAAAATAATGCTACATAATGCAAATTTTTTATGTTAATATGGATGACATAACATTGTTTTAACTGCCATTCTGCCATCTATATTTTGTTACTCACCATCTATAGAAATGTAGATGGCAGGGACATGACATCCATTACCCAATGACAGAGGGTCATTCTAGTCTGAGGCATTAGAGCAAAGACAAATATTTTGAATTGTAGTTTATGTATTAGCTCTGCTTATTTATATTAAATTGTTGAAGTTTCAGGTTTTAGTGCTGCAATATTTTATCGTGAATGAGAACATCTATCCCTTTTTTTCAGAATCTGGTGAGAGAATTCATGGAGGTTCAGTGGTTTTAACTGCTGGGACCTTCCTAAGGGGGATGATTCAGATTGGTTTGGAACAGTTCCCTGCTGGTAGAATGGGAGACCAGCCAGCCATAGGCCTGGCCAAAAGTTTGGAGGAGGCAGGCTTTACTCTTGCTAGGCTTAAAACAGGTACAAGTCCCACGGCATTAGATTTTTACTATTTGTTTTCATGTGATCTTTTTATTAGCTCACCTGAGCTGAAAGCTCAAGTGAGCTTTTCTGATCACATTTTGTCCGGCGTCCGTCTGTCTGTCCGTCTGTCCGTCTGTCTGTCTGTCTGTAAACTTTTCACATTTTCGACTTCTTCTCAAGAACCACTGGGCCAATTTCAACCAAACTTGCCACAAAGTATCCTTGGGTAAAGGGGATTCAAGTTTGTTCAAATGAAGGGCCACGCCCTCTTTCAAGGGGAGATAATTAGGAATTACTGAAAAAATAATGGCATCATTTAAAAATCTTCTTCTCAAGAACCATAGGGCCAGGAAAGATGAAACTCATGTGGAAGCATCCTTAGGTAGTGTACATTCAAGTTTGTTCAAATCATGACCCCCGGGGGTAGGGTGGGGCTGCAATGGAGGATCAAAGTTTTACATAGAAATATATAGGAAAAATCTTTAAAAATCTTCTTCTCAAGAACAGCAAAGCCATGATGAGTCATATTTATATGGAAGCATCCTGAGGTAGTGTAGATTCAAGTTTGTTCAAATCATGACCCCCGGGGTAGGGTGGGGCCACAATGGAGGATCAAAGTTTTACATAGAAATATATAGGAAAAATCTTTAAAAATCTTCTTCTCAAGAACAGCAAAGCCATGATGAGTCATATTTATATGGAAGCATCCTGAGGTAGTGTTGATTCAAATTTGTTCAAATCATGACCCCCGGGGGTAGGGCAAGGCCACAATGGAGGATCAAAGTTTTACATAGAAATATATAGGAAAAATCTTTAAAAATCTTCTTCTCAAGAACAGCAAAGCCATGATTGGTCATATTTATATGGAAGCATCCTCAGGTAGTGTAGATTCAAGTTTGTTCAAATCATGACCCCCGGGGGTAGGGCGGGGCCGCAATGGAGGATCAAAGTTTTACATAGAAATATATAGGAAAAATCTTTAAAAATCTTCTTCTCAAGAACAGCAAAGCCATGATAAGTCATATTTATATGGAAGCAATCTCAGGTAGTGTAGATTCAAGTTTGTTCAAATCATGACCCCCGGGGGTAGGGCGGGGCCACAATGGAGGATCAAAGTTTTACATAGAAATATATAGGAAAAATCTTTAAAAATCTTCTTCTCAAGAACAGCAAAGCCATGATGAGTCATATTTATATGGAAGCATCCTGAGGTAGTGTTGATTCAAATTTGTTCAAATCATGACCCCCGGGGGTAGGGCGAGGCCACAATGGAGGATCAAAGTTTTACATAGAAATATATAGGAAAAATCTTTAAAAATCTTCTTCTCAAGAACAGCAAAGCCATGATTGGTCATATTTATATGGAAGCATCCTCAGGTAGTGTAGATTCAAGTTTGTTCAAATCTTGACCCCCGGGGGTAGGGCGGGGCCGCAATGGAGGATCAAAGTTTTACATAGAAATATATAGGAAAAATCTTTAAAAATCTTCTTCTCAAGAACAGCAAAGCCATGATGAGTCATATTTATATGGAAGCAATCTCAGGTAGTGTAGATTAAAGTTTGTTCAAACCATGGCCCCCGGGGGTAGGGCGGGGCTGCAATGGAGGATCAAAGTTTTACATAGAAATATATAGGAAAAATCTTTAAAAATCTTCTTCTCAAGAACAGCAAAGCCATGATGAGTCATATTTAAATGGAAGCATCCTGAGGTAGTGTAGATTCAAGTTTGTTCAAATCATGACCCCCGGGGGGTAGGGCGGTGCCACAATGGAGGATCAAAGTTTTACATAGAAATATATAGGAAAAATCTTTAAAAATCTTCTTCTCAAGAACAGCAAAGCCATGATGAGTCATATTTATATGGAAGCATCCTCAGGTAGTGTAGATTCAAATTTGTTCAAATCATGACCCCCAGGGGTAGGGCGGGGCCACAATGGAGGATCAAAGTTTTACATAGAAATATATAGGAAAAATCTTTAAAAATCTTCTTCTCAAGAACAGCAAAGCCATGATGAGTCATATTTATATGGAAGCATCCTGAGGTAGTGTAGATTCAAGTTTGTTCAAATCATGACCCCCGGGGGTAGGGCGGGGCCACAATGGAGGATCAAAGTTTTACATAGAAATATATAGGAAAAATCTTTAAAAATCTTCTTCTCAAGAACAGCAAAGCCATGATGAGTCATATTTATATGGAAGCATCCTGAGGTAGTGTAGATTCAAGTTTGTTCAAATCATGACCCCCAGGGGTAGGGCGGGGCCACAATGGAGGATCAAAGTTTTACATAGAAATATATAGGAAAAATCTTTAAAAATCTTCTTCTCAAGAACAGCAAAGCCATGATGAGTCATATTTATATGGAAGCATCCTCAGGTAGTGTAGATTCAAATTTGTTCAAATCTTGACCCCCAGGGGTAGGGCGGGGCCACAATGGAGGATCAAAGTTTTACATAGAAATATATAGGAAAAATCTTTAAAAATCTTCTTCTCAAGAATAGCAAAGCCATGATGAGTCATATTTATATGGAAGCATCCTGAGGTAGTGTAGATTCAAGTTTGTTCAAACCATGACCCCTGGGGGTAGGGTGGGGCCACAATGGGGGATCAAAGTTTTACATAGAAATATAAAGGAAAATATCTTCTTCTGAAGAACTGCAAACCATGATTAGTCATTTTGATATGGAAGCATCCTCAGGTAGTGTAGATTCAATTTTGTTCAAATGATGACCCCAAGGGGTAGGGTGGGGCCCAATGGGGGAAGGAAAGTTTTACATAAGAACATATAGAAAAAAATATTTCTTCTCAAGAACAGAAAAGCTATGTTTAGTCATATTGATATGGAAGCATCCTCAGGTAGTGTAGATTCAAGTTTGTTCAAATGATGACCCCTGGGATAGGGAGGAGCCACAATGAGGGATCAAATTTTTACAAAGGAATATATGGGAATTTTTTTAAAAAAATCTTCTTAAGTACAACAAAGCCATTTGTTATATTGACATGGAAGCATCATCAGGTAGTTTAAAATTCAAGCCCCCCCCCCCCGTCTTTTCAATACTGAACTGATTGTGCTTTTGCCTAGCCAATGTGCTCAGGTGAGCGATGTGGCCCATGGGCGTCTTGTTTGTATTGTAAGGAAAGTTCTTTGATTTCTACCCACTTGTTCCAATTGTCAATAATGCATATTGATTAAGAAAACAATCGTAATGTACAATTAGATTTTTCTCATCAATAGGAACTCCGCCTCGTTTGGAGAGGAAGTCAGTAGATTTCAGTAAGACAGCTATACATATGGCTGATAGTATTCCTCATCCCTTTAGTTACCTCAATACAGATGTTTGGATCAAGGTATGACAGAATTCATTCTTATATTGAGTTAACATTCAAGAATTGATAAACAGTATTACCCAATACTTTGCTAGAGGGTATTTAGAGAGCTTCTTTGCCAACCCACCATTTTCAGTGACAGTTATTTTACATCAGATTAAAATATAAAATACCTCTCTGCAAAAACAGGATCAGACCTGAATAGCTGAAGTATTTATCACCTGTGCTATTATTCTACTCAGAAACTATGAAATAGTGTGAATCTAAATGTTCATATTTTACTAAATAAAATCTACTAAGAGTTGTCTCTCTTTGTGCTTTATAGCTTTGCTGTGGTCTAATTGTTTCTTCTGGTACCAGGGTAAATCTTTCCCCATATTTCTAGGAAATCTGTTCTGTATTTTTCAAGAATCCTGTGTACATACAGAAGGACAGCTAGGCACACTGAAAAACACCATCCCCATCCAATCAGAGGGTTCAACATTTAGTAGTGTTTTTAGCTCCCCTGAGCTAAGAGTACTGTATTTTCCTATTTTCAACTTCTTCTCAAGAACTACTTTAAAAAATCAACTGAAATTGCCTGGTAGGATTCAATTTTCTTAAGAACTTTGTCTGTTTCAAGGAGAAATGGTGCAGAAATAGTGATTTTTTTGTTTAAAAAATCTTGTTTTTAAGATCTTCTAGACTAGAGAGAACAAAATTGAATTGAAAGAGTGTGGATTCCAATCCAATTCAAATTATTTTCCTCCCGTCTTCCAGGGTAAGTGTGGACCACAATAGGGGATCAAAGTTTTAGTTTTACAAAACATATACAAGGAAATGTATAAAATTGTTCTTCTTTAACCTATCTAGCAGCCCATGGACCATTAGTTACAAGTAAAATCTCATTTCCATTACCCTTGGCTCAATGATAATGACATTTTTTATCAAAAATAACTTGTGCAACGGCCTTGGTTAAGACAGACAGTCAAAGTCTGGCAAATCTTTATTTTATTATTATTTTTTTTGGTAGTCCATGATCTCTGTATGCAAACTTAATTTTCTTGAACCCCACATTGCTTAGGTGTCAGTGATATAAAAATGCCTTTTGGTATGTACAGATACAGTGTTCCTGCACATTACTGAAGATAATAGTTAAGACTGATTCATCTGTTCACTGGTATAAATTATGGCTTTAATGATAATGATTTTCAAAAGAAATCTGAATGATAATTTGAATCCAAAAAAAAATTCAGCATATTTTGCGATGAAAAATTTGACAGAAATTGCCTTATAAAATGACAAGCTTTTAAGGGAATAGAAGTCATTAATCCAGTGAGAGTTATCTCTCTTGTTGGATGGTCAGTGAACAATTTAAAATGCTAACTTATTCAGCATTCTGACTAACATTCTCTTGTATCCAGTTACATTACTAATATACATTTGAACTTTGTTATCTCAAACACAAATATCTCAAATACCAGGGATATGTCAAAGTGAGTTAGAAGTCTCTATGTTTTTTAACCTCATTATCTTGAATCCTCTGATATCGAGACATCTCGGAGTTTAATCTCAGTCCTGTCGAGTTCGAGATAGAAGATTTGACTGCATGTATTAGTATTACATATTTAATTTTTAAGCCTGAAGACCAGATGAATTGTCACATGACCCACACTAACGAGGAGGTAGATAAAATTGTCATGGAAACTATGCATCTTAACAGACATGTGCGAGAGGAAGTCAAGGGCCCAAGGTAAGTAACTCTGACATTCAGCAAGCCATGACATCAATCTATCCCGCAGTCAGCAGTAACCATGATGACATAATGCATCTACATGTCTGCAGTTTTTTTTATATTCTATACCCTTTCTTTGATGGCATACAGATCTGTATTCAGTGTACTGGACTTGTATCTGTAGATCATCAATCAGGGCAAAGTGGTACTCCATCTCAGTAGTGGTTTTTTTGTACTTATGCCTGTGCTATTAGTCACGATTTGTTGTAGGTGGTAATTCATTAGATAAAAGGCTATCAGTTTACAGGTAATGTGTGTTCTGCTGCCCCATTTCTCATTGTACTCTTAGACAGAGGTTTCCCCACCACTGATTAATTGCCGTCTATTTAAACAAAGTACAAGAAGGTGAATACAACAGAATTACGACAACAAACAGGCAGTCTATAATACATCTACGTAAAATCTAGTGTGTAGATAATAGCTTATCGATGATGAAGATAAAGATCAAAATTTAATGTAGACGTTATTTTACTCTTACTTTCTCTATAACTTTTTAGGATGTACGTATATTGTTTATGTAAGAATACTTTTACTTGGAAGTCTTAACCAATGGAGAAGTCTTAAGTTTAGGTACTGATTATTTTTTATTTGATCTAATAGACTTCATTTTTTGGCAGCTTAATCTTCCTGATGAAGTAGACTATTTGGAAAGCATCTTGTCTTTGGTACGATTCTTGTTGCGTTTAATGTTGATGGTTTAATTCATGTGTCTGTAGGCATTGTGAGGAAGATTTATCAAATCCTTTGTAGGTTGATTGCTATACGAATTCTGTGAATGGTAACTCTCTAGACGTACTGATAGAAATATTGAATTTATGCTAAAATGTCTTGACATGCAATCACTCTTCCAAAATATATTGCCTGCTCTCTTCAAAAAACTTCTTATTTCAAGGAATATTTTTTTTATATATGTATGAGAGTTTCTGCACATATACCAAAGATGAAAACGTATCTAACAGCATTATAAATCACTTACTATTACATAATTCGTGTAATTCTGTGCATGTTTATGTGGGTGTAAAGAAAAACGTAAGATAAATAGAGAGCTCCAGGAAGTTTGCATTGTGTGTTTAAAGAGGTAGAAACATTGAGACTTGAGTCCATAAAGAAATGGCAGTGTATTAGGGGAAATCTAGGAACAAAAACTCATTCGCTCAAAATACTGAAAGTAAACAAATGATTGTGGGAAAGGAGGGTCCAAAACTGGTAAAAAAAAAACCCCTAAAACCCATGTATCTTGTAGCCCTAGCCTGATTGTATAAGGCTATAACATCAATACAACGTGGGATAATGCACTTATGGCAGAAACATTAAACCTCTGCAAAGATTTGTTTTGGAGATTTCTGATTAAAAATATTTGTGTGGGTTTCACAGAAATTTATAGAGAAAAAACAATTTACTCCAGTTATTACAGCTAAATGTCATAATGACAATAAGAAAGGACGGTAAAATATGTGTTTCTTCTTATGTGGTCTTCTTCACAGAGCTGTTTAATGTTTTAACTGAGAGAGGATAGCGATTCACAGCAGCTTTATATAAATCACTGATACTGATAGAAGACAGATTATTAATCATTTGAGAATTCTGAAATCAGTGTCTGAATGTGAATATAAATCAAGAAAATGTTGTATTCAAATGGCTGTCTAAGCTGTATACATCACAGATTGGGTATAGGCCAGGATAAAACACTTTCACTGAAAGTTCCCTAATTCAGTCTCTAACAAAGCAATGGAAAAAATTGGTACTTTGGTTTTAAAGAAAAATTGATTTGAACTAAGACTTGTTGTACAAGGGACACATCTGAATGTTATAAATCATGTAAATGAAGGGATTTATGTATTTCTTAGGAGTAGGTATGTAAATGATAGCTCTGCATTAAGATTGAACCACTGTTCACACGCCAGAATCACATAGTTGTACAGTTCAATTTACTTAAAAGCAAGGTTATGTAAGAAGGCATTTAATGGACGTTTTGTGGCCAAAAATAAGGCTCCCATTTGCCCAATCAATAACAGAAAGGAATCGACTGCCATTTTACAATTTTGCTGATTAAGAAATTGCTCATTTGAATTTGGCAAAAATTTATCCAGACTGATTGCAGAAAATCGGAATGAAGAAAGGTCATTGTAAGACCCTATAAAGACATCCAATTGGTTCTGCTGATCTTCAGATAATTTAGATAGGTTTTGATTAACAATAACCTTGGTCTTAGTTACATATGTATATTTTTCACTAATGCAAATATTGTCAAGTACCCAGTACTCATTTATATATTGTGGATATTGTCTTAAAGTTTTATGGACAGACCATAAATGCTTAAGCATAAGATTCCAAGATAATTTTGGCTATGTTGGTGACATAAGAATAAAACTGTACTAAAAGATTCAACCAGTGAATAACTTTAATATCTAAATAAATATACATGTTATATCAGTAGAACGATAGACCAGCAGTTTATAATCTTAAAACAGATTTAACATGAGATACGAAAGTCTCCGCGGATTTGTGGGTTACTGGAAGTGTGGGCTTCAGCTCGACTCATAAGCAAGCTGGATGTGTTGTCTGAGTTTGACTCAGGGGTGGCCTCGTGGCTTGGCCGAGATCTATACGTGCTTCGAGAGCTTAGAGCACTAATACAGTCATCCATGTTAATACTGTTGGTATCCTCAATACCAGTTTGACCTTGACCTGGGGTAAACTCACTTTGACTTTGACCTTCACCTTCTTCATCATGCTGATCTTGGTGGTTGATTTCAGCTTGTGTCGTTAACCATTCAGCTAAGGCAGCCAGATTTTGTTGTCGGTAACGATCACAGTAGATGTATTTTGCCAAAATGTCAATGTGTCTATCAAAGCAAATGTAAAGTATGGGCTGAATTGTGCCCTGTGTCCAGGCAATGAAACTAAAGGCTTGGTACATCTTTGGTCGTTGTTTGAATTCCGAGTCAACAAGTATGAGCAAAAACAAAGGATACCAACACAAAACAAATGCAATTGTGCTGAGCACAAACATTTTAGCACGTTGACTTGAGTCTTGAATCATGCTGCGGATATTGCATGTAGAATTGAGTGGATTGTCTGTGATTGTGATGGATGAACGGACCAGCATGGAGACACGATTAGGATGGTTAAGCTGAATCTCTTTATACAGCTTACAGATAAAGTGGATTACGAACAATACAGCCAGCGTAATGATGATAATCCACATCACATGGGCCACATAGCCTGTCTGCTTTCCTAACACAAAAGAACAACTGCCAATCTGAGGATGGAAATCAAAGTATCCTCCAATTAAAGTCGGTCCTAGATGTAAAATTGTACTAGCAATATACACAAGTATAATGCCAAAAATAACACAACACAGAGAACCATGGGAATTTCCACCAATGTTCACCTCTCCAAAAGTGTAGGCTTCGGTACATACCATAGCCACCATATTAAAGATGGAGGCTGTAATAATAAGCACATAAGATGCTCCAAAAAAGTCGCAGTCAGAGGGTTTAATTTGTGTTATCAGATTGTTGGCTATTGGAATGCAGTAAGCAGCTTTTAGACTGTCCAAAAAACAGGCATGAACCAGAAAAGCACTAGTCAGTTTTCTCATAGTCCGTCTGATGAAAATAAAGATGGCCACTAGAATGTTGAGAAGGAGTCCAAGAACAGCCACAAAGTACAAATAATACGCTTCCTGATGGTATGTCTGTAGTTTGGGGACATGGTTGTGGTCCCCCTTGAGGAAAGCTGGTTCCCGCTGCTCGATTTTGCCAATGGAATTGCCAACAACAATCTGCTGAAAGCTGTGGTTGTACACGGACCTCTCCATCGCATTCATTCATTCCGAGGAAAAATCCAAGATCTGCAAAAAATAGGAACAAAAAATTACAGAAAATCATTACTGATAATCAAATAAAAAAGGAAACAAACATACTTTACTGCATGAATACTGAGTAGTGGTAGAACATTTTCAGATATTGTTGTGGTACTAACATTGCTAATCAATACCAAGACTACCATTGAGGTGTATAAGATAAACACAGTACTACAATGACAAGAGGACTAAAACAAATTGACTGGCTTCTCCAATACTGCGTTGTAATTCCCTGTGATAGCTCACAGGAAGGGCAGCCCTTGTAACAGCACAAAAATTTATTTAAAATATTGATTTTGGGTCTGATTTTATCAATACTCAACTGGCTCTATTTATTAAAGATTTGTATTCAGACCACACATACGAAGAAAAACATTATGTATTTATTTGCTCTAATCCAAAATGCAAATATTGCAAGAGGAACCATTGTGGTTTCTGAACGGAATATTATACTTAATTCTTGTTCAATGAATATTCTTCATTCAGTTGTCAAGTACAATTGTCCAGGAGTCTGACTAGCTCTTGGTTAATCAGGACATTTGAACTGAGAGAACACAATTGATCAGATTTTGTCATTGTAGTCTGCAGGCAATCTTGTTACTCATTCAGTCACATTTTTCCCAGGAAGTCTTAGTAATGGCCAGATTGTCATTGTAAGATCAGCTTAAGCATGACAGTCCAGAAAAAAGTTTTAAATCTGTTGTTTACAGGGTATCACAGGAAAGTTAATATGTTAACTTAAGATCAAACGTTTACAGATTTACTGCACAAGTTATAAAATAAATCAACACATATATTTTATATTTATGCAGCTTATATACGTACACACAAAAGCAATACATTATGAATGAAAAGATTAAGTGATTTCACATACATGTATTATGTATAATGTCCCCTCTCTTGCAGAATTTGAATTCAGTTTTGTTTGGAGAATGTTTTCTCAATAATAATATTTTTGAAGTTTTATCAAATTAAACATTTTCTTTTAATTATTATTTAAAATTAATTTCCAAAACCCATCAAGGTTTATGTTTTAGAAGACAAAATTATTGTAGTTTTTAATTCCAATCCCAAAAACTTAAGGTCTGATGACACTTTGCTCGAATATCTGTTTTGTATATCTTCGTAATATACAACAAATTAATTACAATTACCATTGTCTTGTGAATTTTAGACTGTTTTCAAAATGTCTATGTAGATAAAGGCACCAAAAACTTGTGAAATGCAATGCTAGTGATTTCCAATAGGGTTATACAGTAAATAACATCCTCTGGTATCTTGCACAAATGCCTGGTAAGGTACCTTAATTTTTTGTGAAGAAACTTGTAAAAGTAGCAATACTTCAATGAGAAATTCTTGGAAAAAATTATATATTATTGAGGAACGTGTCATCTGACCTTAAAACATCTTTTCTTTAATTTGAATGGTTTTGTTTACTCTTGATCTTGTATAAACATGTATAAACATGCAGTTCCACAGAGAAAAATTGGAGAAAAAATATTAAGTAAGGAAAAGTGTGAGGAAGACTTTTTTTATTCAAAATTTCATTTTAAAATTTTATATACTGATTACAGTAATGCCAAACATTGGGTTCCAGACAACATATTGAATGACAACTCACCAAATGGTATAATTCACCGAAAGTCAACTAATCAAATGTAAAACTCACCGATACAACAAGTCATAAAAGACAAGTCGTGGATGACAACAATTCTTTTGATGTATTTTATCACTTTCACCCAAAACATGTCTGAGGATTGATTTTTTATCCCCCCCCCCCCTAAAATGGCCATGGACATATATTTTTACCCTGTTCCATCATTCTTTCATTCTATTATCATTGACTTTCCTTTCATTATCTCGGCAACAGTTGCACACATTCAACTCAAATTTGACATATAGATACGTCATAGGAATATGCAGGCCTGACAAGTTCGAATTTGGTCATGGTCCGATAATTTTTGACATAGTTATCCCTCTTGAACTTAGAAAAAAATAAGAAATTTTCAGTTTCCACTCTAACTTTTGAAGGGATGTATGTATAATGTTGAAATTGTATACAAGGTATTTTAATAGAAAATACAGGTCGAGTTCGAATTTGGTCATGGTCCAATGATTTTTGACAGAGTTATTCCTCTTGAACTTAGAAAAAAATAAGAAATTTTTAATTTCTGCTCTCTAACTTTTGTAGGGATGTATGTATAAGGTTGAAATTGCATATGTAGGTATTTTACCAGAAAATACAGGTCAGGTTCCAATATTCAATATTGGAACATTGAATATTTTGTTCAGTGAGTTAACAAAAATCTTGTCAATTATAATTATTTTTTATCAGTTTCGATGAGTGTCTGAGATGTCCATTCCATGATTTGGGTTAACTATGAGTTGTCTTTTGATGAGTTGATATAGACCCCCATTCCCCCAAACATTGACAAGTAAGAATGCATACATTACTCTGTCCATAGTTTGGTCTGAACAGAGATTTAGAACAGTCTGAAATGCAAGGGTGGAGATGAAATTGAAAGTTCTGTATTGCTATCTTAATAAGTTGGAAACTGTTGAAGAACCTGATTTTGATAAACATATAAATGTAAGACAATAAGGTAAACGATTGACTAATGATTGACTTGTATTCATGGAATTACAGATATTCAGACATTTGCTGTTAGGAAGCAATTATAAGCTAGTTTCCATTAACTTGTGTGTTTGATTGTGTTTTCTTTCCATCAGCAATATGACTGGGTATCTCTGCAGAAGAATCTCTAATGTATGATGACAAGGGCATTTCAGTTCAATTATTGATTCTAATTGGCTGTTAGCTGTAACCACTGTTTGCTTAATACTGTAACAATGTTCCTGAAAGAGCACATCAAAGAGATTGGAAAATCTTTGATGTCAGGTGTCTAATTCCGCTTTTTAGCAAACAGAATTTTGATTAACCTTGAGTATAAAAGATGAAACATATGAAACAAGAAAAATAGCATGTATCGTGATCTATCAAAAATATTATCCTGAGGAATCTTTTTTTGATCAGACAGAGGTTACTTTTAGTTAAAAGCAGAGGTCGTCATGGGTCAGGGTTCAAAGTCATGCATGGAAAGATCATCAAAGCTTTAAGGGTATTAGTGAGAGGGACTGAGTCTGTCCTGTGTTTTCATAGATCATAGAATCAGATGTTTGGGTGTGTGGAATATGTTCATCATCCATGATGAACTACAAGTCTTATAAGAAACATGTGGGTACCATCATTAAATTAAACCTGACCTTGCTACCACATTTAAAGACAATCATCACAACAGAGATGTATACATGTACATTGGCAGAGACTTAGGAATCAATGGCACTGTCACATAATATTTATACCCTTACCAATAAATTTGAAAAGGGATGGGGCTTATATAGGAATCTCAATATATGTATGTCTGTGTCCATCTGTCTGCCTCTGTCACCTTGCTTTTGATGAATCCTGTCTGGGGGCTGTAAATTTGTATTTGAGGAACATTAGCAGCTCATTAAAATGTTCCATATTACCAAAGAGAGTGTCCTTGTCTGATCCATGGTCATAAAAACAACATCCAGGTCACAAAATTTTGAAGGGCAAAATTCTTGACCAGGCCATGATTTTATGATTAAGAAATGTTAGATCATCTTCATTTGCATAAATGTTGTGTATGAAATAGGCTTTTTTATGACCATGGTTAGTGTCATTTGGACAAGGTCCCAGGCTTCAGGCCCTGGCAGTTTTACAAAAGAACCTACAACTAAAACCAAGAATTTGAGAGGTTTCTAACATCATGCCCATCAAACAACCTTTTTAATCTGAACATCTAAATAATATAAAATATCTTTCATTTTTATGTAAAGAAGAAATTACCGGTAGATAAATGTAAAACTTTTTTGGTCTTAGGCATGATTGAGTCCTTTTGTAAAGTGGACCCATAGAAGTGTTTTAAAACTCTTGTCTGCTCTATATATATAATGTTCATTAATTTAAAAAGCTCATACTTCTTAAAAATGTTGCTGATACCTTAGTCACATTAAAGCCAATGGTCAGGCAACCAAATTTTTCTGATATTTTTGGCTGGAAAAAAGTGATCGGCCAACACAGTACCAGGTGATACAGAGCAGTCACATCAATTCCTAGGAACACCAATGACTTTTAAAGTTTAAATATTTTAGGTAAGTAATCATCACCATGCAATCACTGATCACTGAATTGCAGTTTGATTTTAACCATTGGCCTACATTTTGGAAAACTCAATACATGTACCTAAACTGACGAACGACTTAATAAACTGTCTGCCAATGGTTGGACAATGATCAAGAGTTGGTCAACAGACAATTCAATAACTGCTTTAAATGATGAAATCAGCCACCAATGCAGGAAAAATTATGACTTGGCCCAACGGAAACTCAAATTTGGTTTGCTAACGACAAAAAAGGTAAAAATCAGGCAAGACAACTGCTGACTGTCATAAAAAAAATCCCATTTTTGCCTCTAAACTGTCCGCTTTTGGCCATTTTTAGGTCACATGAGTCACTCAGGTGACCTATTGCTATCTGTTTTCATCCTTCGTTGTCCATCGTGCATTAACATTTGAACATTTTCAGCTTCTTCTCTGAAACCGCTCAACCAATTTCAACCAATTTTGGCATATAGCATCTATGGGTGAAAGGAAACAAATATTGTGAATTTCATGGTCCCTGTCCCCTGGGGCCTGAGGAGTGGGGCTTAAACCACCAAAATTAATGCAATCTTTAAAAATCTTATTCTTTACTCCTGAACATCAAGCAGTCAAACTTTTGGCATGATTGTAATGAGCATTGAACCCCCTACCAAAATTTTGAAATTCATGACCCCAGGGTCAGGGGTTCTGGAGCTAAGGTGGGGCTATATAGATCATATAGTGAAAATGCATTAATTCTTTGAAAATCTTCTTCTCTGCTCCTGGGTATTAATTAATCAAACTAAGTGGATGGTTATGATGCACAAGGATGTTTTTTTTCCAAAATTGTGAAATTCATGGCCCCTGGGTCAGGGGTTCTGGTGTTTGGATGGGGCTCTATTGATTATATAGTGAAAATGCATTAATTCTTTGAAAATGTTCTTCTCTGCTCCTGGGTATTATTTAAACAAAGTAAGTGGCTGGTTACTTTGTTTGGGGAACATAATTAAGTGGACCATTTAGGGTTACAGAAAAATAGTCATTAGAAGTTCAGATTTTAAGAGAATGGCTTTATAAAAATGTTTGCTTCATACATTCTAACTTGTGCAATCTGTAATTTTATTGATTGATTTTTGGAAGATATAATAACTTTATTAAAAGTTTGAGCAGTTTTTTGCTTATAGCCATAAGTATTAAATAATTACTTTTGTTATACCTCTAAAAATAAATTCCTATATAAATCATTACTTAAAATGTCTAACATTTCTTATGTTTTACTGAGCGGTCATAAAAAAATCGATGTTTGACCACAGAGCAAGATATTGGACCTGTGGACGAGATATTGGACGGCTTACGTCACACTGTGGGTGGGATCAACAATCTTTGCATTCATAGGTATGGAAACCAGCAAAAGATACATGTACAACAAAAAAAAATAATAATAATAAAGAAAGGAATAAAAGGTATAACAAAACATTTATGACATCTGTGTTCTTAGGCAAAATGTGCTTTGTCGATCCCTCGAACCAAACTGTTTGCCTTCGGCCTAACGGCCTCAGGCAAACAGTTTGGTTCTTGGGTCCAACAAAATGCATGTTGCCCTCAAACCCAGTCAATAAATGTATAATGTGATAAATAGCAAGCATATATATGAATAAATTAGGATTGTTCTTAATAATTAAAGCTGGGAAACGGAATTGCAATAATTTACACTCATGATATGTTAGTATTTGTATTTGAACTTTTATGCAAAATGTTCCTATATGCTTTTGGTTAAGTTCCCTTTGACTCAGTCTCAGTTTGTGACTACATGGTTGTGTATTAATTGATGCAGGGTTTTGTACTAAATAAATGTCCTACAAAGCTGTAGTAAAAGAAGGCAATAAAAACATACCAGAAACAACTGTAATATCTTGTAATTAATGTCATTTGATATAATTTGCTTGCTTGTTTGTTGTTCATACTATTTAGATTAATAAGTGTCAAATTATTTCGAAGCAGCCTTAAGAAATATGCTAAATTATTTCCTTGACAGAATTTAGGCAGATTGCATTGTCAGTTCATTGAGAACTGTTTTTTTTTATTTTTCTACGGTTCGCTGTATTGGAGTGGGGGGAAACATTGCTGGCATGCTTGTCTGTGTTAAATGACATACAAACAGCTAAGCTGTCTTCCCAACACTCCAAGGAATTTCAAAACGTCTACCGCCATAATTCTCCTCCTCCAAAGTGTCATAATGAAACCCTCCCGCTGTGTTTGACAGTTTGTAAAAAGCTAATTTGTTCTCAGGATTCCTGGATTCTTTCCTTACACTTTTTTCTACTTCTTATAATCCTTGAGAAGTTTTTAAGAACCATTTTAATGCAGCACTGAACCATTCAATTATCTTGATAATTGATTATGCATGTTAAACAGGTTTCAATATGACAAGTTAGAATTATTTCATATTTACTTTTACATAAATGAAATATTTGCACAGTGGGAAAAATATATTTTTTAAATTAATTTAAACTTCAAACTTTTTTGTTATTTTTCAATTGGAATAATGGAATATTTTATATGTACTTACATAGAGGGATGTTTGCAATCAATTAGTAATCCCATTTTATAATGATCCATCTCTCCCGAGATACATAACTAAATGTTTTTCACATCATCATGAAGACTTTCTAATCTTCACAGCATAAGTAAATATTGCCTCAGCTTTATGAGATAGTCCAGATGTGCAAATCGGATGATAAATTTCAGAAAGAATTTGGTAGGAAAAAAAATATGTTGTAAAGGGTATTGATACTGTGCCTGCTCGCTACCACATCACAAACTGCTGTCCATTAATTAACCCTCTTTGAGAATTTCGTTACAAACATATACTTTACAGTCGTAGGGTCGAAGAAAAAAGTGGAGAGCAAAAAAAATCAATAACGTGGAAGCTGAACTCTTTTGTGCAAGAAGGCTTAGTGTGTTTGTGCATTTATTTGTACAACCACAGGATAAATTCACAGCAAACGTTGGGATAAATTTACAGCTAGTCTTCACTAGCGATTTCTTAAGGATCACAGGCAGGGACAAGAAAAACAGATAATTGGCAGTTTGTGGAGAGGCTAATTAAGACGCTGGGGCTGAATTTTTAAGAAATATTTAAATATTGTAATAGTGGTAATACAGCTCTACGTAAATAAAATCTTAATTAAACGTTCTGTTTACCCTTCCTGCTTTCTGATAATGGCTGGTGTTGGTTCCTGCTTAATTGTTGAATCTAAGGACAAGTTAGGGAGTTAGCTATCAATAGTATTTTCAATTAAAGAAAAATCTTTTGTCACATTCTTTACCAATTAAATAAGGTAGTGATTCATTAAAGAAATTCAAAGAGATTACTTCATTGTTACCACTTACATATTATTCCAGTTTGTTGATGTAAGTTAAACACTATTATAGTGACTCTACCCTACAGAAATTGATTGAGAAGGCAGTAATTGTATGAAACAGCAGTCCATCCAACTACACTTTCTTAAATATTAGATTGTCATATCCAATATGCTGCATTAGTTATATATTTATCCAAAGCACCCAATTAAATTTGATGTAACTTTTTTGGTGAGCAGAATTCATTTTATGTGTACAGTGTATTGTTAGGATTTGATGTCACAGTGTCATGTGTATGGGGTATCAGTATCTTATTGGTAACTGAGCCCATAGATCATTGTACCCAAATCAATAAGTGAAATCAAGGGAAGCAGTCTCTCTGATTGTTACAATAGATTTCCATTGTAACAGCAGGAGGCTGGCACTGAATGGGACATTGATTTTAGATGGAGTAACCCAGACAAAAGGCAGGCTACCTGATGCTGACGGCTCTTCATAGAGCGGTCACAGCTTGTGGCAGCAGAGGACCCACTCCTCAACTCCAAACAGTGGCCACTCTAGAGATATGTACTCTCATAAGTGGTAATGTCAACTGCATTCCTATCAATTTTAGTTCTGTTTATTTGAAGCAGGGGATAATAAAGACATCATTTATCAGTGTGGTATAGTGCACACAACCTTGAAGTATATATATTTTAATGGAATGTTCTGTTAATATAACATGATTATGATGAAGCAATGAATATAGTTTTCTACTATAGACTCCTGAGCATGATTTGATATACATATAATTGCACTCATTAACCAACTTTAAAAGTCATTGAATTCATCATTTAAAAGGAACAGTTTCTTCTCAAGTCATAAACAATTTTGGTTATTTGGTTAAACATTAATTTAGGAATGAGATAAGTAGTTCTTTAGGTTGTTTTTTTTTTTAATTTTGTTGTTGGAGAACTCATGATGATTGAAAGGTAGTGAGTGCACATACCTGTATGTAATTTTTTTTATTTTGTTGTTGGAGAAGTGTGATTGAAAGTAGTTGGTGAACATGTCTGTAATTTTTTTTTTTAAAAATTAAATGTAAGTGGACTCTTAATGGCTGATTGTTTTTTAATTTTACCTCAAAGATCATTTTTCCCTTTCTATTTGAATAGGTGCTCTCTTGTTCAAACTCATTTGCTCTCAAACTTATCTTTGCTTCTTTAAAAACCTTAAGCATCAGAGTAATTCTGTCCAGTTTAAAGACTGGTATAAATTGAATGAATTTACTTCTGTTTCAGTAATTTAGAAAATGAATAGCTATATGGTGAATTATTCTGCTTGAGAAGGCAATGTGCTGAAGCCTGATCATTCTTCAGAGGGTTATTTTGTCTAAGTACAATAGTTGTTTAAAACTCTAATGGATCGTTCTGGATGGGAGTCAAGAATTCCAGATAGTGTTCAATTATAGTAAAATTGTCATTAAAATCTAATAAAATCATTACATTAATCAAATCAGGCATTATAATCAATTTTTTAACCTTGAAAAAATATGATGTGTTTATAAATTATGATACATTGATTGAAAGTTTGCTGAGCAAAGAAATAGATTGAATTATTTTGGGGAAAAAACTGGAATTCTTGTTTTTTATATATAGTGAATAAAAATTGAATTAAACATTAATTATTACTTATATTGAATATCAACTTCTTTATCATTGCATTTTTGAAAGTTTTTTGACCTTTGAAGTTTGATTCAACTCAAATTGCAGTTCAGAAAAGTATCAGTATGATTGAAATCTCTTTTTAAGTTATTACCTGCAGACTGTCATTTGTATAAGGTTGGATTTCATTTACATAAATGTATATCAGGCAGATAAAATGTGATTGTATAAGGCAGAAAAAACTCACCCTTCTGGATTTTAAACCCCAGTACTGACAATGATCACACCTTCCTTCATATTACTATGTCTATATTCTCTGGTACCATAGAACTCTTAAGAAGTGAATTGTTGGGGCCCTAGTGGGGGGAAATATTACTTTTATAACTCAGTATACCACCTGTAAGCTAAATTGACTGGTAAATTCTACTGATACTCTGAGGGATCGGTGTTATCAAAATGTAATTGCCCATTAAAATTATTATCTTGAGTTCGACATCATGAAGATAACAATGAAAATCCCTTTGGTTGCCTCCATAGAAAATATGTGTATCATTGTACAATGCATATATTCATCACATGCAGAAGATACCAGCTGCTGAAACGAGGCCTTCAGAGGGGGGAATTTGGACATGCAGCACAAACAATAGCTAGACAATCGATGGTATGAATTGCAGTAAATAAACATCTCTGCAGACATTCTCAGCAAGGAAACTATTTACAGATGATTGGTCACGATTTACCCTGTATTTTGTTTGTTTACATGTACATTCTGTCTATTTAGTCTGGAATAAAGGGGAAAAAGTTTAAATGTTCATCCTCATCTTGATATACTTGCATGTAACCTTGAAGACTATTTCCTATTGCCATTGTGTAACAGTATGTAGTGAAGACATTTCTCATTGGTAACTACTTCTTTTGGCACATACATGCATTTAAGAGACATATTTCCTAACTATTCATATGAATTAAACACAGATGAGATCCCCTAATTGTGTCACTTATTTCTCAGCTCTGTATACATAAAATATTCCCAGAACTCTCCCACTGTTTTAAAATGATAAAAGATGTTAATGAAAGATTCTCAGAATTACTTAAATATGCTGAATCTTGTTCTTTTAGAATATATGATGGGTACAGTTTCATTAAGCTTGATTACTTCAATATTGGAACATCACAAATGGTTGATCTGTGTAAAAAATTGCATTTATTTTGATAAAACATAACAGAACAGTAAAAGAGTGTATCTAATTACCATGTAATCCCTCTTCATTAAATGGCACTGCAAAACAGGTGCAGGAATATTTCTTCTCTTGAAATGGTGTACCTTTAAATGCTATGAGGCCTCGTATTTAGCCCATCCCTGATGAATTGTTGACTGGCTGATGGCAAAGAAATAAATGTGTTCATAGTACTTCCACAGAATACTGATATATAAATGATTATAGGCCTTTGGTTAACTCTTCATCTTTAGGGATTATTTGAGTCTCCCACTTTACATGAAATGATATATTACTAATATATAACTGATTATAGTACTGATATATAACTGATTATAGTACTGATATATAACTGATTATAGTACTGATCTACATGTATAACTGAATATAGTACTGATATATAACTGAATATAGTACTGATATATAACTGATTATAGTACTGATATATAACTGATTATAGCACTGATCTACATGTATAACTGAATATAGTACTGATATATAACTGATTATAGCACTGATATATAACTGATTATATTACTGATATATAACTGATTATAGTACTGATATATAACTGATTATAGCACTGATCTATCAATGATTTTAGTACTGATATATAACTGATTATAGACCTTTCATTAACTCTTCATCCTTGGGGATGCTTTGAGTCCCCCACTTGACATGTAATGAATAACTGATATGTAACTGATTATAGAACTGATATATAACTGATTATAGTACTAACATATAACAGATTATAGAACTGACATATAACTGATTATATTACTGATATATAACTGATTATAGAACTGATACATAACTGATTATAGTACTGATATATAACTGATATATAACTGATTATAGTACTGATATATAACTGATTACAGTACTGATATATAACTGATTATAGACCTTTTGTTAACTCTTCATCTTTGGGTATGCTTTGAGTCCACCATGTAACCTGTAAGGAATGCCAATAAACTACCTGTATACTTTATTAAATAAAAAAAATGTTAATTGAAATAAGAAATATTTTCCATTCAGTATTAGAACCAAGACTTTCTATGTGAATTGATGGTGAAGTTTGGTAATGTGTACCTACAAGAAGGCAACATTCAAAAGTCTTAAATTTAATTGTGTATTATACTGTAACTCCAAATAAGAACTTGATTACTCTGTAACTCATAATGTAAACTTTGTTACTTTGAAACTCCAAATATTATTATTTTATAACTTGAAATGAACTGTTTCTCTTTAAATGTTGAAATGAAAGTTGTTACTCTTTAATTTTCTGTAATCTGTCTTACTGCTTTTAATGGTCAAGTCTCTTGTTCTGTTATTAATTAGATGTTTAGATGACCACTGTTACACTTTCTTGGTTGACAGAAGCTTTCTGAGTTTCCTGTAAGTTTATCAAGAGTTTATCAAGGGAAGAGGTGGGCTCTTTAATTGTTGGTAAGCTGGCACAGCTATGGTGTTACAGGTGTCATCAGTACAATAATGCAGAAGCCATGAGCTAGACTGTTGTTGTTGAAGAGATTAAAAAAATGTGATGTTATTGTTGAGGAGATAACAGTGATGTTGTAGAGATGAGCTGTATTATTGTTTTGAAGATAAAACAGTTATGTTGTAGAGATGAGCTTTGTTATTGTTGAAGAAATAACACAGTAATGTTGTAGAGATGACCTCTGTTATTGTTGAGGCAATAACAGTAATGTTGTAGAGATGAGCTCTGTTATTGTTGAGACAATAACACAGTAATGTTGTAGAGATGAGCTCTGTTATTGTTGAGGAGATAACACAGTAATGTTGTAGAGATGAGCTCTGTTATTGTTGAGGCAATAACAGTGATAGATGAGGTCTGTTATTGTTAATGAGATAACACAGTGATGTTGTAGAGATGAGCTCTGTTATTGTTGAGGAGATAACACAGTAATGTTGTAGAGATGAGGTCTGTTATTGTTGAGGCAATAACAGTAATGTTGTAGAGATGAGCTCTGTAATTGTTGAGGAGATAACACAGTGATGTTGTAGAGATGAGCTCTGTAATTGTTGAGGAGATAACACAGTGATGTTGTAGAGATGAGCTCTGTTATTGTTGAGGAGATAACACAGTTATGTTGTTGAGATGAGCTCTGTTATTGTTGAGGCAATAATAGTAATGTTGTTGAGATGAGGTCTGTTATTGTTAATGAGATAACACAGTGATGTTGTAGAGATGAGGTCTGTTATTGTTGAGGAGATAACACAGTAATGTTGTAGAGATGAGGTCTGTTATTGTTGAAATAACATAAATGTTGTAGAGATGAGCTCTGTTATTGTTGAGGAGATAACACAGTAATGATGTAGAGATGAGCTCTGTTATTGTTGAGGAGATAACACAGTAATGTTGTAGAGATGAGCTCTGTTATTGTTGAGGAGATAGCACAGTAATGTTGTAGAGATTAGTTGTGTTATTGTTGAGATAACACAGTAATGTTGTAGAGATGAGCTCTGTTATTGTTGAGGAGATAGCACAGTAATGTTGTAGAGATGAGCTCTGTTATTGTTGAGGAGATAACACAGTGATGTTGTAGAGATGAGCTCTGTTATTGTTGAGGAGATAACACAGTGATGTTGTAGAGATGAGCTCTGTTATTGTTGAGGAGATAACACAGTTATGTTGTTGAGATGAGCTCTGTTATTGTTGAGGCAATAATAGTAATGTTGTTGAGATGAGGTCTGTTATTGTTAATGAGATAACACAGTGATGTTGTAGAGATGAGGTCTGTTATTGTTGAGGAGATAACACAGTAATGTTGTAGAGATGAGGTCTGTTATTGTTGAAATAACATAAATGTTGTAGAGATGAGCTCTGTTATTGTTGAGGAGATAACACAGTAATGATGTAGAGATGAGCTCTGTTATTGTTGAGGAGATAACACAGTAATGTTGTAGAGATGAGCTCTGTTATTGTTGAGGAGATAACACAGTAATGTTGTAGAGATGAGTTATGTTATTGTTGAGGAGATAACACAGTAATGTTGTAGAGATTAGTTGTGTTATTACTTGTGAGATAAGACAGTATTCACTGTAATTAATCCACAGGTAACTCACCAGTACTGTAGAGGTAATGTATTGGAGTTTCTGACTTCCATTCCATTCAATCGTAAAAAGTAGTTGCAATGTTCATTTTTTTAAAAGCACAAACATTTTCATTCACACAGTGTCATTTGGAATACTGCCATTAAATGTGTTGCTTATTATTATCTATCAGATCATTGAATAATTGTACTTCTTGTTTGCACTGTGCATTGCCAAGGTAAACAGTGAGATGTTCCCAGTTTTATAGGATACTAATTGCAATTAGTGTCAAGAACAGCCTCCCACTAACATGTTAATCACACACAGTGTAGTATATAGCAGTATTTCAGAACAAGAATACTTTGCTTTTATGCTACAGGTTCTAGGTGATACATCTTCATAGCAATAACAGATTAAAAGTTTGACTGTCCCATGTTTCAGATACTGCCCCTCCATTGAATCCAAGGTTCTGCTTTTTAAAGGAAGAAAACATCAAATATGGCTTGAACCAGAAGGTAAATTGCTGTGGAAAGCTGACTTTTTTCATAATTGTAAGAAATAATTTTATGTATTAAAATACAGAAATACTGTTTCATACTTGTGTCTAGGGGGAGGGGGGGGGGGGGGGGCAAGGTGATGGGAGGGGAAAAAACAGTTCAGATTTCCTATGAACATTCTTTAAATTTTCTTGCTGGAAAGACAATAAAAAAGACACATAAATTTAAATTGACATATCAGTCTATTGTGTCTGTCTAGCTGTCCATCTGTCTGTAAACAGAATGCTACTCCTCCTACAGTTTTGGTCCAATTTCAGTGAGAATTGGTACACAAGTAGACTATACTAAGATACATACTGTGAAATCACTAATTTTCAAAGAGGCTTAATTTTCATCATTTTCATGGCATGAAGAGACCCACAAATTCATATCTCCCATGAAATATTAAAACTTCACACTGCAGTATTATGTTTCTCCTTTATCCACGAAGTCAGATCCCTTCAAACCAGTTATTTTTCCACAAACCATGAAAATTAGATTTCGACAAACAGTTTTGTCATGGTTACTAAAAACAGAAATTTCTGTAAAATTCTTTCAAAACACTACACCTCTATCTGTTTTGGTCCGATTTCAAGGCTCTCAATTGTCTATGATTGGGGCCATTCGAGGGCCCCATTCCAAATTCAAAAAAAGGAACCTTTTCCCCAATTAAAATAGAAGTGTTGATTTTCCCAATTATCATTTCTCCAAAAAATTAAAGAAAATATAGTTGGGGTTATCCCAAAATTCTGCAAAAAGGTCACTTTTCAAAAGCTTTGAATTTTAGGAAAAACTGCATCTTTTACCTGCATTTTATAGGTTTGGATAATGAAGTTATCTATCCACAAGGGATATCCTGCACTATGCCAGAGGAGCACCAACTGAGGCTAGTGCGAGCTATCCCAGGCCTGGAGAGGGCTGTCTTCACAAAACCAGGTAATAAAACTGGGAAGATACTATGGCCTTCTTCACCAAGCCAGGTAATAAAACTGGGAAGATACTATGGCCTTCTTCACTAAACCAGGTAATAAAACTGGGAAGATACTATGGCCTTCTTCACAAAACCAGGCAATAGAACTGGGAAGATACTATGACCTTCTTTACTAAGCCAGGTAATAAAACTGGGAAGATACTGTGGCTGTCTTCACTAGGTCAGGTAATAAAACTGGGAAGATACTATGGCCTTCTTCACTAAACCAAGAAATAAAAGTGGGAAGATATTGTGGCTGTCTTCACTAAACCAGGTAATAAAACTGGGAAGATACTGTGGCTGTCTTTACTAAACCAGGTAATAAAACTGGGAAGACACTGTGGCTGTCTTCACTAAACCAGGTTGTAAAACTGGGAAGATACTTTGGCCTTCTTCACTAAACCAGGTAGGTAAGTAGGTAATAAAACTGGAAAGGTATCATGACCTTCTTCATGAAACCAGGTAATAAAACTGGGTACTACGGCCTTCTTCACTAAACCAGGTAATAAAACTTTTTTGAAGATCGGTGGCCTTCTTTACTAAACAGATAATAAAGCTGGGAAGATACTGTGGCCTTCTTCCCAAAAACCAGGTAATTGTAAAACTGGAAGATTCCATCCCTGTCTAAATAAACGTGGTGGGGAAAAAAGAGATTCATGAAGTATTATCTGCTGTTATTTTCATTTAACTGTTGCTATGGTACATTCATGTTTTTCATTCAATAATACCTTGGTATGGAATATGATTACATCAAAAGTGTTGAATTTTATATTTTTTCTGCTGTTTTACATTTATGGTTTTGTTATATACATGTACAACTGTTATTGTATGTTTTATGGCAAAGAACATGATTGCATTTATTGTTGTTTATTTAATAATGCGGAAATGATTACACTTAACTTGTATTTAAGGCGATGGTGTGGAATATGATAACACTGAATTGTTGCTATTAAGGTGATGGTGTGGAATGTGGTAACACCCAGTTGTGGTTGTTTAGGTTATGATTTGGAATATGATAACACCCAATTGTGGTTGTTTAGGTTATGATTTGGAACATGATAACACCCAATTGTGGTTGTTTAGGTTATGATGTGGAATATGATAACACACAATTGTGGTTGTTTATGTTATGATGTGGAATATGATGAATACTTACTTGTGGATGTTTAGGTCATGATATGGAATATTATAACACTTATTTGTGTTTGTTCAGGTCATGATGTGGAATATGATAACACTTATTGTGGTTGTTTAGGTTTTGATTACATTTGACTATTGTTGGATCAAAAATTAAATATGACTGTTGTTGTTTGGGCTATGGTGTGGAGTATGATTACATTTTTTTCATTGTTGTTTAGGTAATCGTTTGATATAGGATTGCATTTTATCATTATCGTTTATAAAATTATGGTGTGTACTATAATTCATATATATATTTATCATTGATGTTTAGGTAATGGTTTGAAATAGAATTACATTTAATTATTATTGTTTAGGTTATGGTGTGAAATATAATTCATGTATATTTATCATTGTTGTGGTGTATGATTACATTATCATTGGTGATTAGGTTATGGTGTGGAGTGTGATTACATTTTATCATTGTTGTTTAGGTTATGGTGTGGAGTATGATTACATTTTATCATTGTTGTTTAGGTTATGGTGTGGAGTATGATTACATTTTATCATTGTTGTTTAGGTTATGGTGTGGAGTATGATTACATGGATCCCAGACAGCTAAGGCCTACATTAGAAACCATTAAGATAGAGAATCTGTTCTTTGCTGGTCAGATTAATGGTACGACAGGATATGAAGAAGCAGCTGCCCAGGTATTATAACCTTAAGATACAGGTATATTGTATAACTCAGGTGATATCATCACTCGGGTGAGGCATACATTACATCAAACAAGTATGACATATACTGAATCACTCAGGTGAGGCATACATTACATCAAACAAGTATGACATATACTGAATCACTCAGGTGAGGCATACATTACGTCAAACAAGTATGACACAGGTGAGGCATACATTACATCAAACAAGTATGACATATACTGAATCACTCGGGTGAGGCATACATTACATCAAACAAGTATGACATATACTGAATCACTCAGATCTGACATACATAACTGTAAAAAGGTATGGCATACACTTCAATACACATATATGACATACTCTTCAAATTACAGTTATGGCAAACACTTCATTACACAGGTATGCCATACAATTCAATACACAGCTATGACATACACTTCAATACACTATTGTGAAATACTGTTCAATACAAAAGTGTGACATACACTTCAATTCACAAGTGTGACATAAACTAAATCTTTGACAATATGACATACACCATCATCACTCAGTGAGACAATTACACTATTTCATTCATACATGTTACAGTCTTGTATGTCATACACACCAATACTGTGGTTCATCGTGGTATGACATACACTTCTTTTCCCAGGTGCAACATAACATAACAGTACCATTCAGACATGACAAGTATGGCGATAATAAGTTAAGACACACACTACAATATAGAAGCTTGGAATATATTTCATCGCTGAATATCAAACATGCATAATTAAGTTTTTCTTTCAAAAATAAAAAGATTAAATTCATTTAGGAAGAAGATTACTGAAATCTTTAGAAGTTGTGTCTTACCCTACAGTGACACTTTTTCAGTGAAATACATTCAAAATAAATTCTTCATTAGGATTTCAAAGGAAACTAACTGTTACTGTTTAGCTATAGCATAATTTAAGTTAGATCTGGAGAGTACAGACATTTTTTTCTCTCAGTAGAACAACGTTACAGAACTTTTGCATGCAAAACTCAGATCCTGTCTGTTTATGAATACCATGATAAATCTCTAAGTTGTTCTCATCTGCCTTGAATGGTCTGTGGATTAATGCCATAAGGGCCATGTAAATCATCAACCCATTACATGCTGTTTGAAGTGAAGTAAGTTATATTATTAAATCATCTAGGGCATTATAGCTGGAATCAACGCTGCTGGTAAAGTGCAAGGAAAGCCTCCCTTTACAGTTGATAGAACAGAGGGTTACATTGGAGTTCTTATTGATGACCTCATCACACAGGGAACCAATGAACCATATCGAATGTTCACGAGTCGATCAGAGTTCAGGCTGTATCTCAGACCTGATAATGCTGACAAAAGACTTACAGCAAAAGGTTTGGGTCATAATAAAGTACTTAAAACAAATTATTTACTAAAAATGATTCCTTATAGGAAAGAATAGACTATATTCTTGTTTTGTTTTTTGTTTTAAAAAAGTTGGGGTTTTTTGGTTTTGAATTAAAGATGTTATTGATTTGCGTCACTATTAAAATTTTGTGACTAAAAATGCATGATCAAAGGGCAGATTATGATAACTTGCACCTTCATTAATTTTTAGTGCAAATGAGCTGAAAACTCAAGTGAGCTTTTCAGATCACCCGTTTCCTGGCTTCTGTTTGTTTGTCTGTTCATCTGTTAATTTTTCACATTAACTTTTTTTTACTTCTTCTCGAGAACCACTGGGCCAATTTTAGCCCAAGTTGGCACAAAACACCCCTGGATAAAGGGGATTCTAATAGTGGTGTGCAATATTACCAGCATATCTGTACATTTTAGTATGACCCACCATAATGAATGATGATTTAAAAATTAGATAACAGTATGTCTCAATATTCATAAAAATATATAAAAACATCAATGGTGCAATGTTTTGTCTAATATACATATCACAAGTAAATGGTCACCGATTTTCACTTGATGCAGGGTTGCTTCAATTACTTTTTAATTACTTTCATGCCATTTTAAAAACCTTCATGCGGAGCAAATGCGAAGTAATTTAATGCGTAGTAAATTAATTCAAATTAAACTAATTCGCATTAAATTCTCCGTGTGAACCCGGTTGAAATTAAATTCGCAGTAACTTACGTTTAATTCAAATTAAATTTTCCGTGTGAACAGGGCATAAAACGTATATATGCCAGGTCCATGATCATATGGCATAATGTGAAATTAGGTCAGGTGAGACTAATACCCCAAAATCCACAAGAAGTTGTCGCAACTATTTTTCTTTATTCGTCTTTTTATTCTATGAATGCAGAGCTCCAGGTAATTTTTTTTAGCCCAAAGTGTATTTACCCCCTGATTTTCAAATCAATGCAGATTTTGATATTCAGTAAAATGATTTAAGAGTATTTTGTTAATATATTAATGTTTTGACATCTGTTGTAATTTTGAGCTTGTTATCCAAATAAAAGTATTTTTAAAAAGGATAGAAAAAAAACTACAAAGGACAGTTCCTGTATTTATTTAAATATTTTTTTAAGAATGCCAACAAGATTTCTGAGAAACATTTTTTTCTTTGACAAGGAAGATCATACAGTAGGTAAAGTAATCATAGGCACATATAATTTTTTCTCTATTTAAGATGATATCATAGGAAGAGTAAACCAAGAAAAAAAAGAATGAGAGAAATCAGAAATTGTCAATGAACCCATCTTAAAAAACGTTATGTACAAACCATGTGTAACCGTCCTACTGAACAGAGAACCATAGAGAACTCGAGAGAATCTAGGAAAACTCTTTATCGTTAAATACATATAGGATCTCCCATGATTTGTAGTTGGATATGATTTTTATCCAACGAGTTGTGTGTTTTTTATCCCCGAGCCTTGGCGAGGGGATAAAAACACACAACGAGTTGGATAAAAGTCATAGGTGTCAGGTCATTTCTCTCTAAAACTTTTTCTCTCCTAGGTTATTTCTCTCTACTACCATTTCACGGTAGGTCATTTCACGGTAGGTCATTTCACTCTCCTACCTAGGTCATTTCACCCCATTTTTAATCTGGTCTAATAAAATTATTTACAACTCCATTCTTAGTTAGTTAAAGCAGTCCCAGAGCAGTCCCACAGCGGTCCCAGAGCAGTCCCACAGCAGTCCCAGAGCAGTCCCAGCAGTCCCAGCGGTCCCAGAAAGCAGTCCCAGAAAGCAGTCCCAGCAAATAACATGCATTGACTTTCTGCTAATCATGCCCGAAGGCGATTGAAACTTCAGGTGTTGACACCATTTTATACATTTGTATTGCTTTTTATTAATCGGCCAGGAAAACATAAACAAAACAAATAAGAAATAAGTCACAATTCCCAATATTTTAAAATGTTTATAAATTTACTCTTTTAATTACTTGTTTATAAATCAAAAACAAATTCATAAATAAATCCCCCAATAATTGTTCACAAATATAATGTTTTTAATGACTGAAGAATGGTAGAATAATTTTATTTCATGGTCATTTAATAAATTATTAGGTTTTATTTGAGTACATTCCGTAACTTGACAGCATTAATTAATTAAATAGGCCTCGATATTTTTTTTTTTTCAAGCACCTGTATTAAAGTTTCAATTAGCATTAATTAATTAAATAGGCCTAGATATATTTTTTTTTCAAACACCTGTATTAAAGTTTAATTTAAAGGATAAAAGTCATCTCCTGACTTCCCTTTTAACTGCTTTCATTTTTAAAAATTAATTCCAGACTACAATTGTGTAAATTTACAGCCCCTGAAGACATTTAGTAATTACATGTATATCTATCTCTACTTATTAAAATGTTGTTAAAAAAAATCCTTGTTTTTTTAATTCTTTATCTTAAACACCTCTCTGCTGAAAGTAAACAAAACAACAACAGGGAGCCTGCAAATTCAGAATACACAAGGGGCGGAGCTATCATGTCACTCAGAACCTTTTTCATGCATGAGTGAACAAAGCAGTCCCAGAAAGCAGTCCCAGGGACTGTTGGGACTGCTGGGTCTGCTTTCTAGAGCAGTCCCACAGCAGTCCCAGAGCAGTCCCACAGCGGTCCCAGAGCAGTCCCACAGCAGTCCCAGAGCAGTCCCAAAGCAGTCCCGGGGACTGCTTTCTGGGACTGCTTAGGTGTCAGGTTGGGTCTGGTTGGTACTGTACGTTTCAAAATCTCAGTAGATGTCAAATAAAATATCTCTAAAAGGTTTGTTTACTCCAAGTTTGTATATTTGTCTAATAGTTTACTTATTCAGGGATTCAATTCAAAAAAATCTCTTATCTCATTTTTTTTTTTTACGCTTTTAACCCCCCCCCCCCCCCCCCCCCCCCCCTGGCGTTCAGTTCACATTAATTGTTATACCAGAGGCAGTCAATTTTAAGTACAAACAAAAATATTTTCACAATCATACAATTATGAAATGCTTGAAACAGTTTTTTGAAAGGGTTTAGACACATGATTGTTATGTTAGCTAGATTTTACACTGTTTACATGTACTTACGTCAATTTTATTATTAAGGAGTCATTCACGATAAGTCAATTATGCACGTACGCAAGAGAAAATATTAATGCAGAAAAAAATGTTTCAAACAATCAGGACTTTTTAAAATTAAAACTACATATATGCACATTGATTTTGTGTTTTTAGAATAAACATGTTCAAAAAGGGGGTACACAAAGCGCTGCATTTCATTTCCGAAATTTTGCATTGCATTTCCTACATTTTTTGTTTGCATTTCCGACATTTTTTTTATTTTCATTTCCGACATTTATTTCTTTACATTTCCGGAATATTTGGAGGGTACTTTTACGACAATTTAATGTTAACGAAGCACGTGGAAATAGGATATAAATATTACATTTATTTCAAACCACATTTTCTGAATAAAAATAATGCAATACACTAAAGAACATGCATATGCAAAAAAAAAAAAAAAAAAAAAAAAAAAAAAAGTCTAAGAAGGAAGTTAAAACTTACTTGTCTGTGACAGTCCAAACATTTAGGATTAGTCATCTTGCCTAAAGATTGTGATCGCTAGAAAGTATTGCAGTAAATGAGATTTTTTATTAAGTCAAATAAAAAGTGGCAAAAAATTCTTATTTATATAATAATTAGGCTGAACACATCTGTGTACAATACACAAAGCTGACATTTTCTGTCACTAAGAATGATTTCTCCAAATTTAAACGAGTAATAATTAAGGTGTCAATCTGTGAAATGTAATCGACAATTCACGGATAAACATATGTACCCAGCATGTATATACAAAAAACACCGTGTAAGGTATCATAAAACCGCCAGACAGCAATTACGAAATCTAACAATAATATATTTATTCGGAATTCCTGATAAAGGCCATAAACGAAAGATGACATCAAAAAGGAAAATAAACAAACTTGAAGACTACTATTGAATTTAATTGTGGGAAAAAAATGGATTAAAATAAAATATTTTTTATCATCGCATTTAAATCTAAGTTATTCCATATTTCATAAGAAAGAAAGAAAAAACAAACAAAGAAGAAATAAAATAAAAAATAGATAAATAAATGAATTAAGGAATACTTAAATAAATAAATGAATAAATGTGTGAACTCAGAAATAAATAAATAAATGAATAAATAAATAGATAGATAAATAAATAGATAGATAGATAAATAAATAGATAGATACATAAATTTTCTAATTCAAATAATGGTACTAGTATAAAGCATGTTAATGTTAAGCTCAATAGTAATGGTATAAAAACTTATTGTATTATAATTTTCATGTTGGAGTGAAATGACCTAGGTTGTGGAGAGAAATGACCTAGGTAATGGAACGAAATGACCTAGGAGAGAAATGACCTGGGTGGAAATGACCTATGCGGAGTGGGTACTGGGGAGAAATGACCCGGATTCAAGTCATATCCAACTACAAATCATGGGAGATTCTTTTTATCCCATGTTTAATACTTCACAACCAATGTTTTACACTGCTTTATATAGGACTCCACTTTATTTTACTTCATCGCGCTAACGCAAAAACCATTGTGACGTCACAACTGTGGATTATGAAAAATTTATCCAATGAGTCATATCCACGGGATAAAGGGGTAAACATGGGATAAAAATACATATTATGCGTAATGTCTCTGTACAGCAGTTTATTTAATTGGTCTTGAATTAAAAACAGAGCTCTTTTTTTCGATGTGGTTTTAATATGGTCTTCACTGCTCTTTTACACAGTATGTACTCTTTGATATATTGCAGAATAAACTTTTTTTCTCCGGCTAGGACTCTTTCTTTTCCTCAAACTATCCATTGTTTTCTAGGTAACATTGTTTTCTATTACTTATGTATTACATTTGTTACAGAACAATGTCGTCTCACATACACGACACAAGCTTTTGTGTGCTTAAAAGTAACTATGCCTAGTGCGTAGGCTTTCTATATAAAGAAATTGATTTTAATCTAAATCATTGAATTCTTTCTCCTGAACTGGAAATCGTCATCGCCATAACTAGCATTTTCCTGGTTATTAAAACGCTTTTAAATTATTATTTTGTTTTGAAAAAAATCAAACACTGAGCTAACCTCAATCCATATCATTAGCCAAGTCGTACTTGTATTATTCAATCCGTCGTACGCAGTACTTCCATAGTGTAATGCTTATTTACGATTACTAATGCATAACTGTACATCCAGTTTTAATTTTTAATGCATATTTTGTAAAATTCAATGCACATTTCTGCAAATACGCACCTTATCTGGAGCTCTGTGAATGGTTGTATAAAGTATCGAAAAGTCGTATCCTATGTACCCATTGACATGTTTAGGAGTATCGTCCAAAGTCCCATAGATTAATGAGGAGTATTGTCCTAAGTTACCATAGATAGGTTTAAAAATATTGTCCTAAGTCCCATAGATTAATGAGGAATATTGTCCTAAGTCCCATAGATTAATGTAAGAGTATTTTCCTAAGTACCAATAGATCAGTGAGGAGTATTGTCCTAGGTACCCATAGATAAGTGTAGGAGTATTGTCCTAGGTACCCATAGATTAGTGTAGTAGTATTGTCCTAGGTACCCATAGATTAGTGTAGGAGTATTGTCCGAAGTACCAATAGATCAGTGAGGAGTATTGTCCTTAGTGCCCATTGATTAGTGTAGGAGTATTGTCCTAAGTACCCAAAGATTAGTGTAGGAGTATTGTCCTAAGTACCCAAAGATTAGTGTAGGAGTATTGTCCTAAGTACCCAAAGATTAGTGTAGGAGTATTGTCCTAGGTACCCATAGAGTAGTTTAGGAGTATTGTCCTAGGTACCCATAGATTAGTGTAGGTGTATTGTCCCAGGTACCCATAGATTGATGTAGGAGTATTGTCCTAGGTACCCATAGAGTAGTGTAGGAGTATTGTCCTAGGTACCCATAGATTAGTGTTGGAGTATTGTCCTTAGTGCCCATAAATTAGTGTAGGAGTATTGTCTTAGGTACCCATAGATTAGTGTAGGAGTATTGTCCTAGGTACCCATAGATTAATGAGGAGTATTGTCCTAAGTACCCAGTATAGATTAGTGTGGGAGTATTGTCTTAGGTACCCATAGATTAGTGTAGGAGTATTGTCCTAGGTACCCAAAGATTGATGTAGGAGTATTGTCCTAGGTACCCATAGATTAGTGTAGGAGTATTGTCCTTAGTGCCCATAGATTAGTGTAGAAGTATTGTCCTAGGTACCCATAGATTAGTGTAGGAGTATCGTCCTAAGTACCCATAGATTAGTGTAGTAGTATTGTCCTAGGTACCCATAGATTAGTGTAGGAGTATTGTCCGAAGTACCAATAGATCAGTGAGGAGTATTGTCCTTAGTGCCCATAGATTAGTGTAGGAGTATTGTCCTAAGTACCCAAAGATTAGTGTAGGAGTATTGTCCTAAGTACCCAAAGATTAATGTTAATGTAGGAGTATTGTCCTAGGTACCCATAGAGTAGTTTAGGAGTATTGTCCTAGGTACCCATAGATTAGTGTAGGAGTATTGTCCTAGGTACCCATAGAGTAGTGTAGGAGTATTGTCCTAAGTAGCCATAGATTAGTGTAGGAGTATTGTCATAGGTACCCATAGATTAGTGTAGGAGTATTGTCCTAAGTACCCATAGATTAGTGTAGGAGTATTGTTCTAGGTACCCATAGAGTAGTGTAGAAGTGTTGTTCTTAGTGCCCATAGATAAGTTAGGAGTATTGTCTTAAGTACCCATAGATTAGAGTAGGATTAATATCCTTCTGAGTAACACTCTATTGTATTAAAATTTTGCTCCTTAGATGTCAGTATGTGAGTATTTGTTTTTTACAGGTTATGACATTGGGTGTGTCAGCCTTTATATGTCAGTATGTGAGTATTTTATACAGGTTATGACATTGGGTGTGTCAGCCAACACCGATATAACCACACTGTACAGCAGTATAGAGAGGTGGAGGAAATCATTGATCGACTTAAGTCCACAGTGAGACACATGAGGCGGTGGAACAAGCTCTTACAGCGACCAGACAGTACAAATCCAAACCAATTCAGGTAAATCATGGATACCTTTCACTGTATCAAAATAAACTATCACCTGACTAAAATATCAGAGAGATCTGCAAATATTGGTCACTAGAAACCCCTGATTTTTATATTTCTACATGCAGGGTTTTTGTAAGTCTTAAAATCAAGGGCCTGGGCTTTTCCATTTGGGAAAATAGTGACATTTGGTTGAAATTGGGAAAATGTCATATTGACCATTTTTGTAAATAAATTCAAATAAGAGTTTTTTTTTTTTTTTTTTTTTTTTTTTTTTTTTTTTTATTGCACAGTATTTATTGTCTTATTTTACATTCAGTGAATTAGTTTTTGGAGCATGCCTTTCAGATTTTTTTGTTTTGAACACCATTCCTGATATACATGTTACTGAGTTCGGACATTTTTTTGACCAAATCTGTTTGTTTCATTTGTCTTTTGGGAAAAATCTTCTATGAAATGACACACTTTTACCATTGGGAATGGGGTAGAATACAGGCTCCCTACAACCCCTAAAAAAACACACTGTTGGAAGTGGATTTTTTTGTAAATTACTAGAAAATGAAGGTTGTTGCAAATAAAATCTAGTTTAACGTACATGTACCTGTACATGTATTTCAATTTCTTAGCAGGTTTGTATAAGTGATATGCTTGTGAAATTTTAGGGAGGCAAATAGTCAGGTTTATGTACCTATGTGCAATCAGTCAATAATTGACATTCATTTTCCTAAACACAGATATATGTGTCAAGGTCATGCCATTTCAATTGATCACAATGTCAGTTGACTTTGACCTTACATTTCGAAATGTACTAAAGTATGTCATACAAAAGAAAACCACAGAGCCACATGCTAGAGAGAATCCATTAGCTTCTTATCTTGTACATCTGATACAGTGTTTAATAGTGCAACCATTAAACATTAACAGCTGAAATTTTGCTGCCTCCTAAAGGACAGAAAGTTAGTATTAATGCTGCAGTTAAATTTATTGAAATCATAATGAAATCAAATTATAATGAGAGTAGGAAATACGGATTTCAAAGTAGGAAAAATAACAGTAAAATTGTAGATATAGACTCATAAGTACAAACCTCCATTTCAGTGCTTTCCAGTTGCTCTCTGTTCCCGGATTTACAGTAGAAACCATTGCCAAAGCATTGCCAGAGATATTTGGTGACCTTCAATTCAATAGACACATTTGCCACAAGGTTTATGCAGAAGGTTTGCTTTACATGTATTGCACATTTTCCTTTTTTAGGTGCATTAAATTGATGGATATTTCTGTAGAATACTGAATTTCCATAAATGTGTGTTTCTCTTTTTTCTAAGTTTCATTTCACTTTCAAATAAAGATAATGCTCTAAATTGAGAATTCAAATGTTTTTTCTATGAGATTTAATTCAGCTGGGTAATGCATGTACTTTTAATGGCTTTTGCTCCTCTGAGAATACATATTACCTTTATCCAAAAGCAGATAGACTTAATAGGTTTAAAAGTATACATAGTATCTGCTAAGTGGGTTAGGAGGGTATGAAATAGGAAGTCTGCAGGGACAATTTTTGTCTCGGCATTTATTCACTCTTTTGAATATTTAAGTGATAATATCATGCCCTGTAGGGTTATATGCTCAGGAGATTGATGAACAGATGAGCCAAATAGAAGAGCTCCAGAAAGAGGAACAACTCCTGCTACCAGATTCCATTGACTACCTAGGGTATGCATAAAAAATACACTCTGTCCTCTTACGATATGTTGAGTTAATTGTCAAAGATCAAATTTTGGAGAGAGAAACAATTAAAAATTTTTTATTGAATTTTACATCTTTAATTCTTTATTCTTTTGCAATTCTTAAAAATTCTTCTTCTTTTTGGTTTTTTTTTCGGGGGGGGGGGGGGGGGGGGGGGGGGGGGGACTTTTCTTGCTTATTCTTTATACTTCACTATGAATTTAAATACCATTTTGTCAGTTGATTTTGCAATGTATATTTATATATTTTTTTGATATTCTATTTTAGATTAAATGAGATTTCTATGGAGATAAGAGTTAAACTGGATGATGCCAGACCAGCATCTGTAAGTTTCTATGGTAACAAGATCAACTTTGTAAAAAAAAGCTCTGTATGTTAACATCAACATATAGAATAATTCAGAAACTCTATATGTGCTGGAGATCACTACTTATAGTCTCCTACTTTGTACATGTACATCATGTATGACAAAAAAAATTGTAGTAAACAAAAGTACAGTAAAATTCGTTTAGTATGAAGATGGATATTGCGAATTCACAGATATAGCGAAGTTTTCTTGGATCCCCAGCTATATAAATTTAAATTCCTTATATGGATATAACAAATTACAGATATAGTGAAGTAATTTCACAGGTCCCCAGGACTTCACTATAACCGAGTTTTACTGTACCTCATCTGTACTAATTTTACTGGACTTAATATTTCATTAGGTTTAGTTGGCCATATAATCTATGATAATAACCAAAATAAACATGGATTTACATAAGTTGTAACAACTTGTTTCAGAATCCTGCATGTTTTAATATTTACATTTGCAACTATTTCCCCCTATATAACACCTATCTGAACAAGGCATATTTAATCCTTATATAACCAGGTTTGTCAGTAAATTCTTTGTTCAGTCAGAAACAATTGGCATAATTTCATGAGTGACATCATAAGTGATAGACACGTTCAGCACATTCTATTTACCTTTAGGTCACTAAACTTTCACGACAACTTATTTTTACGTTGTTTGGTGTTTAAAAGGGAAAAAAATTTTCATGAAATTGTACTTTTTTTCAGGTGGAAGAAGAAACAATTGAACATTTGCTTTGGAAGTGTAATAGTGCACAACTTTTTTAAAGGAGAATTTGAAGATTACTTTGAAAATAAAACTTATCTTCAAATATCAGTAACAAAAAAATCATTTCATTTTGGGGTTCTTGGATGAAAAGAAAAAGATACAAAATAATCTTGTTCTATGGCTTAAATATTATATCTACACAATGAAGTGCACAGGGAATTATATTTTCGCGCCTAAATAGTCTTGCATAATTACATGAAAAATAAAGTTCTCGCTAATAAAAAGTGATTTACAGGTTTTAAAAAATTAAATCATTTGATGGGTTTAAAACTTCAATACACAAATATTTGTTGTGAATCAGTCTCAAATGTAAATATACATGTAAGTAATAAGGTATTATTTTTAAACAATTATCGGGATGTAAATATGAGTTGGTATGTGATCAAATCTACCCAAAACCCATATGGGCTTTATGGGATTTGATCATATGACCAACCCATATATACATTCCGATAAAAGTTTTAAAATTATACCTTTTTTCTTAAATAAGACTTGTATACAGAGTAAATAATACAAGAAATTGATCCAAAAATAAGTGATAGAATTGTCCTAAAATGTTTGTTAGATGCAAAATTAAAATACAGTGAACTTTGTTATTTTGAATACCCATATCTCAGATTACAGGGATATGCGAGTTGGCAGTCCAACCACTGATTCTTTTTGTTTTTTACCCAGGTTATCTTGAATCATCAGGTATCTTGAAATTTAATCTTGGTCCTGTGGAGTTTGAGATAATGAGGTTTGACTGTATCATTAAAAATGTATTTACTATCACAAGGATTACAGTTTGGAAACTGCATGGTGCTCTCCGCTGCATATTTTAAGATTATATGTGCTGTTGAGTTAAAAATGTCTTAAATGGTAAATAGTATAAGCAGACATTTATAGCAGCGATTCAATCTTGGCATTTTTAGCAAGGGTATTGAGATCTCTAAAGCTGAATATCACTAACAATTCATTCCCACAGTGAAGGTTACTGTAATCTCTCTATCCATCACAAAATCACTAAAATTACTTCTCGCTAAAATTAAATACCAATATCTAAGGATATATCGCTAAATATGCATCTCGCTAAAAATTCCACTTATATAGTATTTCAGATTGTTGCAGGTTAAATATGTCTTAAATGGTATATTTTAGATTGCTGCAGGTTAAATATGTCTTAAATGGTATATTTCAGATTGCTGCAGGTTAAATATGTCTTAAATTGTATATTTCAGATTGCTGCAGGTTAAATATATCTTAAATGGTATATTTCAGATTTCTGCAGGTTAAATATGTCTTAAATGGTATATTTCAGATTGCTGCAGGTTAGATATGTCTTCAATGGTATATTTCAGATTGCTGCAGGTTAAATATGTCTTAAATCATGTATTTCAGATTGCTGCAGCCAGTAGGATCCCCGGTGTCACACCATTGGCTCTTTTAAAGCTGCTTCAATTTGTCAAAAGGACTTGTACTAAGACTCAAACTACTGGACTGCTGTGATTTTCTCTTACAGATGCATGTATTTATTATTGGGATTATTCATCTTGAATTTTGTAATTAAATATTGAAACTGTCAAAAATTGTGTTTTTGTTAGGGATGTCAATTTTGTCAAAAATTCATATTCGAATATTCAATGAAAGTATTCTAATATATTCGAATATTCGATAAAATAAATAAAATCTTTTTATTTTAAATAAGCATCATCCTAGCTATTCTCATGAAAGGTTTAGCGTAAGATATTGGAAGTAAAATTGTATGAAGACTTTTGTAGTTGTACAATAAGAAATTTGATATTTGTCAATGTTTGAAATAAATAATTGATTTAAATGTAGAAAAGTATAATTTTAACAAAGAAACGTGTATATGTAGTAGCTCCAACTGAGGAAGCAGTCATCTTACCAAAGGCAATATAGTCGTAACAGTATACTGTTCAGATTTCAATACGTGTAATAAATTACAATTATCTGCCTAATAAGAGATATGATTATAATCTTTGATGCAATGTTTTTAAAATATAAACAAATATTTCCAACGACAATTTTCTTAGGTAATTAACTAATTTCCTAATAATGAATATAAAATTCAGGATTATGTACAACCCAAGATATAATCATTTATTCTGAAATTGAGCCCTTTACAATATTAATTACAGTCTAATTCTATTGGATATTCATTTGAATGATCAATTAAATTTGTTTTGATAAGCATACGCGTCATGTCTTTGAGACATTCTAAGAAGGATTTCATTTTGTTGTCCTCGATTCTAGATCCGATCGTATTTAACTAATAAAACTATGAAAGTATGTTTTGTTTTATACATAAAACATTATTGTACAATTCTTTAACACCTTACTCAAAACAAAATACATGTAATTTAGTAAATCTATAAGATAAGAAATTAGTGAAAGAAATCAGGCGATTGAAATTGATCGCTAGTAAATTAAACAGGGATAATATTCCAGCATTGTTCTAACCAAAATTCATAAATCACAGTAATTCTTTTTATGAAATCTGAAAAAACACCGAATATTCGAATCTTAAATTCATATTCGAATATCAACTCATCGAATGAATATTCGAATATTCGTTGCCATCCCTAGTTTTTGTATACATCGCCTTTCATTATGATGTTTAGTAAACCTGGGCCCTGTTTTACAAAAGAACTTACAACTGAGACCAAAATGTCATTTTTAAAATAATTTTTTCACATTAATATGAAAATGGTTTTAATCTTTTAAAAAAGAATTTAAAAAGATATACTGTATACAGGGAAGTTTTCGCCCTCGTTTTATTTTCACCCCTTTCACCCTACTCACAGGTGATTTCAAAGAACACGGTGTAATTACTTAAACAGAATTGTGGCTGGGCAAATTTAAAATGGGGCAAAATTTTTTGCAAGTGTGAAAGGGCAAAAATAACATGGAATGAAATTAACCATGTATACAGTATTTATGCAGGCAATTTCTAATGGAATCATTAATTTTGTAAGATAAGTTGTATTAGTTCTTTTTGTAAAATGGACCCCAGATCTGAAAGCTCAAGTGAGTTTTTCTTATCACATTTTGTCCAGCATCCATCCTTCCATCTGTCTGTGCATCCAGCTGCCTGTCTGTAAGCTTTTAACATTTTAAATGTTTTCTACAGATCCACTGGGCCAATTTCAAACTTGCCAAAAAGCAACCTTGGGTGAAAGGGATTCAAGTTTGCTCACATGAAGGTCCACACCCTCTTTCAAAGGGAGATAATTAAGAATAAGTGAAAATTTGGTGGCATCATTTAAAAATCTTTTTCTCAAAATCCACTTGCCAGAAAAAAATGGAAAGTTTCCTGACATAGTGTAGATTCAAGTTTGTTTAAATCATTGCCCCAGGGGTAGGAGCGGACAGTAGGGGATAGGAGAACAAGGTTTAACATGGGAATATACAGGAAAAAATCTTCAAAAGGCTCCTGATGAAGAACAGCTGAGCTATGTTTAGTCATATTAATGTGGAAGCATTCTCAGGTAGTCTATAGTTTCAAATTTTGTTCAAATCATGGCACTTGGTGATAGGATTGAGCCACAATAAGAGATAGAAGTTTAGCAAGAAATTCTTCAAAACTTTTCTGAAGAAGAACAGCTGAGTCATGAATATTCATATTGATATGGAAGCATCCTCAGGTGGCCCCTTGGGATAGGATATTGCCAGAATAAGAGGTCCAAGTTTAACATGGAAATATATATGAAAACATCATCCAAGAACAGCTGAGCCATGATTAATCATATTAATTAATATGGAAGCTTTCTAGTCATATTAATATGGAAGCTTTCTGAGGTAGTGTAGATTCAAGTTTGTTCAAATCATTGCTCTAAGAGATAGATGGGGCCACAATAGAAGATTGAAGTTTAAGATAGGAATATATCGGAAAAAAATCTTTAAAAATCATCTGATGATACTGTAGATTTGAGTTTATTCAAATCATGGCTCCCTTCGGGTAGAGAGGGGCCACAATAGGAGATCAAAGTTTAACATGGGAATAAATGGGGAAAAACCCTTTAAAAATATCTTCTGTTGAAGAACAGCTGAGTCATGAATACTCATATTGATATGGAAGCATCCCCTGTATGAAATTTAAAGGCAGATTCCACCTGGAATATGGGTGGAATTGGCTAATTCCGGGCATACTTGAGACGGAGACGGACTTTCGAAAAGTTATGCCTGAGTAGAAGAGGCGTCTTCTAGGCGTCATTTCTACTTTCTGGGCGTCAATTTGCAAGTTCGGATTTTCCCTGACGTAAAATAGCAGGAAAATTGAAACAAAAATTACGCCTGGAACTTTCAAGGGGAGTAAAAGCCTCTGATTGGTCAATTTAATTATCAATTAAGGGTCATTTCAGATAGGAGGTTAAGTTTGAATTTCATCACGAAGGAAGGAGTTTAGTGTGAGTGAAATAGGAAATACAGATATATCAATGTTAAGGCTTTTACAGTTGTTCTGGATGACACAGTATCTGCTGGTAGGTGTGATAATAATATCTGGTACCTATTTAGGTAAATTTGAATGTACAATGATTGTTATTGACTCTTTAGATTATTCTGAGTTTCCTTGAACACATTCTGAGATGACACAGAGGCACTCAAACTGTAAAGTACTGAGCAAATGAACTGATGTTAAGTAATTTGTTTGAATCATTGTCATGCCTGGAGTGATAAAAGAATTTCAAAAAGTTTATCAAATTCTTTTAGACATTATTTTACACTCCTGATGATGTCTCAGTGTCCCTTATGCAAAGAAATAAAACAGCTTTCATACATTATAATATATTTTTATACTACTTTAGATGTTAACGATTTGTCATTATGTTTTCTAACAGTGTAAAAGGCTAAATTTTCAACTTTAACATTGTAAATCATAATTGTGCTTTTCTTGGTTATATAGGTTTTTAGGTCACAAAGTATTATATAATAATAAGGGCTTTCCAGGCGTAATTCTGCTTTAGGCATCATTTTAATTTCCAGGCGTAATTTTTTTCCAGGCGTCATTTATTTTTCCGGGAGTAACTCATTTGCATTTTTCGCCTCAAATTCCTGCTCATTTCCGCTAGGTTTCCTCTTGGTTTACGCCCAGAACCTCCATAACACCATATATGTAGTGAGACAAACTGACACCCGGAATCCTTCTCAAAGTACGCCTCTATTCCCCCTATATTCCAGGCGTAACATTTCGTACAGGCGGCCCAAGTACTGTAGATCTATTCAAATCATGGACCCCAAGGATAGGCAACAGGAGATGGAAGGTTTTAATTGGAGATCAAATTTTACATAATGCATGTTTACTGGGAAAAAATTCAAAAAATCTTCAGCAGAACAGGAGCCCATGTTAGACTTATGGTTTCATCCCCATATTGTGTTGCTTCATTTTTTATTAAATCAATACCCCTTTATGTAGGTTAGGGACACTGTATGGGGTCAACATTTTCAGAGGAATTGAGGGGAAAAATGTCTTTAAAATCTTAAGAAAAGTATGAACCAAAGTGACTCAAGTTAGCATTATGGGCCTCTTGGTATTTTTAGCTCACCTGACCCGAAGGCTCAAGTGGGCTTTTCTGATCAAAATTTGTCTGTTGTCTGTCGTCGTTGTTGTCCTTGTCGGTGGCGTTGTGAACTTCTTAGCTCACCTCAATGAAGTTTGGGGAGCTTATGTAATACCCTTAGTGTCAGCATCGGTGTCGACATCCCAAGTTAAAGTTTTTGGAGAAGATTTCAAGTATAGTTCCATGCCCTGTATTAATTAATCAGAGATGCATGGAGGATGCTTCTAGTAGTATGTTTCATTGTACTAGTCAAGGTTTCAGATGCTGCAGTTTCAGCTAGAGAATGACCAGGTTAATGTTTTTTGGAGCAGGTTAAGTTTTTTGGAGCAGGTCTCATTTCCAATTAGCTATAATCCCTATGTTGACCAAATTTGCATGGATGATACACCTAAGGATGCATACTATCAGGCTTGCTTCAGATGCCTGATCTGACCTACATATTCCAGATGAGTGACCAGATTAAAGTTTTTGGAGCAGGTCCATTGCCAAGAAACGATAAGGCCTATCTGAACCAAACTAGCATGGATGATGCATCGAGGGATGAACATTCTCAAACTTGCTTCAGATGCTGGATTTGACTTACATTTTCTGGATGAGTGACTAGTTTAAAGTTTTTAGATAAGTCCATGCTCAAGTAACTGCAAGCCCTATCAGACCAAAATTGCATAAATGTTGCATCTAGGGATGCACACTACTAGATTATTAGTTTAGTGTGGGACTCTGCCTTACATAAAGACAACATCCATTGAGGTGAGCTCTGTAATCTCTGATTACCTATGTGTACAATTTCATCTTCTTCTCCAGAACCAATGGGCCAATTTCAACCAAAGTTACCACAAAGTATCCTTGGCTAAAGAGGATTCAAATTTGTTCAAATGAAGGGCCACACCTTCTTCTAAGGGAAGATAATTATGAATTAGTGAAAATTTAATGGCATTGTTTAAAAATCTTCTTAAAAACCAGTGGACCAGTAAATATAAAACTTTGGTGGAAGCATCCTCAGGTAGTGTAGATTTAAATTTGTTCAGTTTTATCATGACCCAAGGGTTAGGGAAGGGTTGTAATGGGTGATCAAAGTTTTATAAAGGAATATGTTGAAAAATCTTTAAAAATCTGATGATGAAGAACAGCAAAGCCATGATTGGTCATAGTTGGGGCAGGGCTGCAATGGGCGATCAAAGTTTTACAATGGAATAATAGGAAAATCTTTAAAAATCTCCTATCATTTCTGTGAAGTTTGATGAAGATGTGCAAAATAATAGGTGGAGTGGTAAATATGGCCGTAGAAAGGGGGCACAAGGGCTGTGCCCCCCTAATAATTTTGCTGATATATAGAATGCTATAGAAAACATAGCTACTATGTGCTTGTGCCCCCTCGATAATAACGACCTTTTTTTTTTAAATTTTGCTGTGTCAAGGAATCTTTGTTTGGTAGTGTGCCCCCCCAACTGAAAATGTGTTTGGTTGTGCCCCCCAAAACTGAAATTGCTTCCTATGGGCCTGATGATAAGACTATGCTACCCTGATTTCATTACTGTTAACATAATAAAATCTTTTACCAATAAGAACCACATGGGTATAATTATTCATGTTTGAGGACAACCATTTGATTCTGAAAGAGAGCCCCCGTGGCTTGCAAATTTTGTCTGTTAATTCAGATCAATATTATTCATTTTCATATTTTACAGGACAGATTATTTATTTTCCTGAATACTTTACAGGACACCTAATTATTTCCATATTTTATAGGACAGATTATTTATTTTGAAGATAACCAGGGACAAAATATTTAATAGGTTTTTTTTTTCACTGTAAAAAATTAAAAATGGCAAAGCACAAAAAAACCAAACAAATAAATAAACAAACAAACAAAAAAAGAAAAAAATCCAAAACTCTGTTTTTGGAGGGAGAGGGGGTACCACCAGTTAAGGTCATTTTCTGTTTTTGGAGGGAGAGGGGGTACCACCAGTTAAGATCATTATATTTTCTTACCAGTGAAGGGCAGATTATTTATTTTAGTTTAATTATACATGTATTTTCAAAATGTTTGAGGTTAGATTATTTCCAAAATCTGCCAGCCCTCTCCCCACCCCCTCCTCCCCTTCCTTTCAGAATCAAAAGGTTGTCCCTGTCCTATTAAAATGGTGCAACTAATAAGCATCCTCAATTTATGCAGATGTAAGTTCAATCAAATCATGCCCCCCCCCTCCCCCAGTAGATTGTATGAGGACCATAAGAGGGAATTAAGGCAGAGATGCAAACTCTCCCAATGTCCTGTTTTCTCCAAATTATGGATGGTTTGGTTTTGGTGGGGAAAAATTTGGAGTTCAAATTTTAAGGAATGCATATACAGTCAAACCTCATTATCTCAAACTCAATGGGACCAAGAAAAAAGTTCCAGATGTCCAAGGATTGGAGATACCGAGGGTAAAATACTTAAAGAATACATGTTTGGGACTTCCAAATCACTTCGACATATTCATGGTATTTGAGATACCAAAGGTCAACTGTTTTTAATGGGAAATCCAGGGGAACCAAATCTTCCTCTTCTGAACAGCAAGGCCAATATATAACAATATATAAGTAAAATAGATACTGAAGCATTCCCATGTTGTTTGGATTAAATTCCTGTTAAGTCATGATCCCATGGGGCTATGATCGAGACACAATATGTGAAAAAAATATTTGGAAAAAAATTCTAGATTAAGGAAGAAGACTCTGGTGAGCATTAAAATTGTGATTTATGGGCTCCTTTTTAGCTCACCTGAGCCAAAGGCTCAAGTGAGCTTTTCTGATCAAAAGATGTCTGTTATCTGTTGTGCTTAATTGTCATCATTGTTAACTTTTTACAAATTCATCTTCTCCTCCAGAATTACTGCACCAATTTCAACCAATCTTGGTACAGAGTATCCCTGGTAAAAGGGGATAATTTGTTCTAATAAAGGGCCACACCTTCTTTCAAAGGGAGATAATACAGTATTAGTGAATTTTATGGCATCTTTTAAAAATCTTCTTCTCAAGTACCACTGTATCAGAAAAGATGAAACTTATGTGAAAGCTTCAATACATAGTGAAGGGTCAACTTTGTTAATTACAAATCTTGACCCCTTGAGGTAGGGTATGTGGGCCATAACAGGGGATCAAAGTTATACATAGAAATATATAGGAAATATCTTTAAAAGATCTTCTCAAGAACAGCAAAGTCATGGTTAGTTATTAGTACAGAAGCATCCTCAGGTAGTGTAGATTCAAATTTGTTCAAATCATGACCCCCGGGATCATGGATGAGGTGTGGCCACATTATTGAAGACCAAAGTTATACAGGAAAAATCTTCTAATGCCATGATGAGTCCAAGAAATATGAAAGCATCCTCAGTTATTGTAGATTCAAGGTTGTTAAAAGCAGAACTCCATTTTTGTGTGTGTGTGGTGGGGGGGGGGGGGGGGAGGGGGGAGGGGGGGGGGAGAGAAAACTTATATATTGAAACTTTTCAATTTTCAATAATGAACTGATATCTAGCTGCTTTTCTCCAAAGTGCTTAGGTGAGTGATGTGGCCCATGGGCCTAATGTAAATGGTGTCCTTGCTGTGCATTTATTCAATTTATTTATTTATTTTTATTTTATTTTATTTATTTATCAGAAATATATTAAGTTATTTTATTGTGTTATTTCACCGAATATACCCTCTATCCTTCAAAAATTAGATCCGCCCTTAAAAATAAATGCTCTTATACTTTCCAATTTTGTCCGGAAGTACAAATTATGTTTATTCGAAACTTTTAATCATGAATAGGATTCATTTATTCAACATCCGGTCGATCCCATAAGATGGAATTTCGTTAAAAATTTTAGTAAAATTACTCATTTATTCAGGAATTTCACACAAGGTACGAATATCTGTTTGTGTATAGAACTATTTAAAGTGTTCCTGCTCTCAATTTATCCTAAATTTGTTTCTTATTTGTCAGGTCGTAAGATTCTTGACCATAGATATATTGAACTGACCACTGGCTTCGTTTGAGTGATTGACTGATAGATAACAGTGTTATGCATTTACGAACAGCTCTGCATCTACTTTTGCTTGTCAGATGAGTTGTTGACATGTTTTTTTTTCATTGAGAAGTAATATGGTCTGACCAGTTTCAAAATACTCGGGATTCATTTTATGATAAAGTACCTTTTGACCTGTGGAATTATTAATTCGTTCAGTGTCCGCTTAAAGTTTATAAATACTGTTAGCATCCTTATTTACTACAAAATATGGTCACGAACTTTGATAAGATATTTGAATGAAGTTTATACTTCTGAAATATTGAGGTAAGCATATTCTTCAGCAGGGTGATATCATTCATTCATTCATTAATGGTGACTTCAGACTTTTATCTTTCTTTCTGTGGTGTTTAAATTTAGTCTAAATATTTTGTTCATGAGCTCAATTATTAAATGATGCAGCCAACACAATTTTATAATGGTCTCTTGATGTATAAATTAACCTGGTTAAAAATTAGTCATAGAAAATTACTATGAAAATCTTAGTGATTTTCAAAGAAAAAATATTTTTTAACTTGCAAAGTGGCAGAATAAATATATACTAAAATCATTTCAGTTGTAAAAAATGATGTAGCTGACTGATCACCAATGGCAACAGCTGATACACAATCGGCAAAGCCTCGGAGTAGTCGTCGTAGACTTCATAATCCACAGGTGGAAAATGACTTTGCACCAGGAGATGGGGAACCACCTGCAAGACCCCCACCTCTGCAGCGGTCACAGTCCCAGAGAGAGAGACCAACAAAACAGCTGGATTTCTACCAAGCCATGTTGGATTTCAAAGTATATTTACTTATCTTCAAATGAAATTATTTTGAACTTTCGCCAACCTCCTAAAATATGATGAAGAAAAGGAACCAAAAAAAAAAGACACATAATTATTCAGATTTTGTTTTTTCTGCACACTTAATGCACTTTTTAGTTCTTTTGCTTCAAAATTGAAATGATTATGTTCAATGGTCCACCAATTGTCCATTAAATTTTTATATACATAATTAGAATTCTGTGCTAAATGGGAAATCGTCTCGGTGTCTTACGCCTTTACTATACCTTATTTTCATTGCAGGCAATGTTCCCAACAATGGATGCGGATGTGATTGAGGCAGTTCTGAGGTCTAATGATGGGGCCGTTGATGATACTATAGATCAGTTACTGACTATGAGTATTGACGGTGTTGACAAAGACTTTGTGGACATACCTCCAGAGCTCATTTCTCCTGTATGTTTAGAATGTTAGATTTCCAGCTCATGAGAGCCAAAGGCTAAAGTTATCTTTTCTGATGAAAATTTGTAGTCTGTCTACTTCTGCATGTATGTCTTCTTAAATCAAGGGATTATTGTGGCCTTTTGGTACTAGCATTAAAATGAGCTTTAACAGAAGAATTATTTGCTATTTATAAAGTGGGTTTCAATAATTGACAGAAAAATCTCTCTAAAAAATAAAATTGGACAGGAAAACATAAAATTTGTTTTTATTTACTACAGTAGTATTATTTGTAATATCTTGCCTGATTTCTTCCAGTTTATTTGTATTGAGTATATAGCCAGAAGTTTCCTTAATACTCAAATGAAATTGTTCTGGTAAATGATCATGAAAAACACTGATCCACAAGAACTGTTAAACAGGCTACCTAGTTCACCTTTTGACAAGCTTCAATGTTTATTTTTTCAAAGTTGCCATTTTTATGCTCAGAATGTGTAATCCGGTTATTCTGTACAAAATGGTGGCATAATTCAGTTAGATACATGTGTGTCATAAATTTAAAAACAAGCTTAAGTAAATCAAATGAATTAGTGCCTATAAAGCCGTGAAATCTTCCATTAAGAATTTGTTGGTTGGTTTTAAAGGTGGAGGATGGTTGCCCGACCTACCATGAGAAGCGAACTGAAGATTCTCCACCGTCATACACAGAAGCTGTCCAGTCAAACAACAGTATCTGGACCACTCCCATTACACAAGCAACGAGTAAAACCTCACCAACTCCACCAAAGAGGAGCCCTATAAGGTTAGCTTTGTTATGTAATGACTACTAACTTAAGAAGGAAGGCAAGCTAACTTTCAGGGGCTGACAAATCCCTTTGCCTGATGCCTGGTGAGCTAGTGAATTTTAGGGGTGGGCAAGTGAATTTTTAATAGGTACTTGTCCTTGGAAAAGTGACTTTAAAAATTCAATCCTTAGATATTTAAAAATAAGTCATAGTTTTACATTTAATTGAAACTATTTTATCTTTATTTTATACATACTTTTATAGTTTATGGTGGGGCAAGTTAAAATTGAGGTAGGGTAAGTGAATTATGACCATGCACATGCCCATGGGCAAGTGCTTAAAAATCTATTTGTCAGCCCCTGAATTTTTTCATTGATCACAATATCCGAAATTGGAACTTTGACTTGTGCTCTGAAAATGTTAAAAGCTTAAGAAAATCATAGTGAAAACTTTTACCTGCATTTTAATTGCACTGGAACATACTCAATCATTTGAGATAAACAAGCAGTGTGAAAAAGATACTGTACGTGTACATTAATTGGCGTATTCAAAATTTAGCGCAATCACTGGGTATGGAGTTGCTGGCGAAATCATGAATTAACGCTATACATGTCCATGCCGTATATTGTATTTATAAATGATTTCTTAGTGGTACATTGTATTAATGAATTAGCGCATTGTTGTCTGCCCCAAAGCTGCTAAAATATGAAGCCCGCTTTTTTAAGTACACATACAGTACATATTATGTATTTAGGAACGGAGTCATTTGTATAGAACAAAAAAAAACATAATTTGCTTACTTGTCTGAACCAGTATTATAAAGTACAACTAACAATATCCTCAGAGCTTCGGTAAACAGTAAAATTTTCATATTTAATGATACCCCTTCTCAAAGTTCCTGTCAAATTGCACTCCACCACTGTATGATGTGATGGTCATTATTTTCTCTTTATTTACTAGATCAAACACAACCCCTACCCCAAAGACTCACAGTCATGGACATAGCAAATCATCATTGCATCATCATAGTCGTTCATCACATCATCATCACCATCATCATCGCAGGAGTCATCGAAGTCGACAGAGTGATGACGTGGTGGACTCGCTAGCTCTTTCTAATACAGAACCAAAGAGACCCCTTCCCAGCTCCCCAGTAAGTCACAGCACCCCTGTCAAGAGTGGCTTCAGAAATTGGAATCCTCCAATGCTGGGGACCCTCCCTGATGATTTCCTGAGATTAACAGTGCCAAAGTCTCCTGATCCACTCTCACTGGAGGGATTTTTACCACACAACTCAGAGAGAACTCACCACAATATCAGTAGGAGAAACAGGCACACTGAGAGACTGTCAAACAGTAGCAGTGAGCACAAGAAAAAAATATCACGGAGTCGTAGTGAGCGAGCTCCTGAAAGACCCAAGTGGTCTCATGGAGGTGAAAGTTTACCTGTGGTACATGCTCATGGGAAAAGTGTAGACGTGTCTCCAGGGATGTCCAAATCATTGGTAAGCTTATTTCTTGTGACCTGAATATTTTAAAGTCTCTCATGGTAAATTTCCTTGGAACTTTGAAGGCTCTCTCTTTGTGCATTCTAATACTCATGCTTTAAATGTACATGTAACCTGTATTATAATTTTCTGGAAAGATACCTGTTTTGCCCCAGACCTTATGTACTTCAGATCTTGGATAGTACCTGCATTTTTTATGCTGCAGAATGAGATTTCTATTTGATATCAGGTTAACTTCAAAGTCATATGAGGGTTTTCAATATGATTATATTTAATAAAGATAGCCCTCTTGACTTGCTTAAAACAGGGATTTACCCTTTAGAGAGAACTTTGGAAAGGATGCAGAACCATAAGTAGTATTGTTTGCTTTGCTTGAAAAATTCACAAAGGGAGGTGAATTTCTGAAAAACTTGTCATTATACTCGTATACATGTACGTCGTAGAAAACAAAGGTAAACACTGCCAATTCTCATACAAGTCCAACCTTCCTGCAGAAAGAAACATTCGTTTCTCTGATTTCTCATTTACCGGTAAAGGTAATTAAAAAAACAGAATCTTACAAGGAATTTCACAGGAGTGTATTTGGATCACTCAAAGTCATCTGAGGTTTACTGCCCAAGCAAGGTCATTGAAGTTTACTGACCAAGCATGGTCTGCTGAAGATGATCAATGAATATCATAGAGAATTTACTTGTTTATTACTCTCTTACTATATCTGTACGATGAGATGTTTATTTCCTTGTTTCATTGTTATTTACTTCCATGTTTGTAGATAATTTCCTCACATGAATTCAGTCAAGATATGCTGGATGAAAAGTTGAAGGAAAATGAGCGACGGAGAAGGAAGGCTGTGAAAAATGTTGATCTAGAAATGTCCCAGTATTTGGAGGATGAACGTCTTGCTATAGCTCTACAAAACAGTGAATTTTTACAGGAGCTTCGGGGGAATGAGGACTTCATGAAAACTTTAGAGAAAGGTACTGAATGTAATGTGTAAGGTTATTGAGCGATTTCAGCACTGGATAGCTTAAGGAAGTCTTTTCTTGTGTTTTAAGGAAATATTTTTTAATTTGTCTGTGGATTTTTTTATGTGTCAAAAAGGAATTTTTTCAATTAAATTTAGTCACGTACAGGGAATATTGTTTAGTAGGACTTGCCAGTTTTTCATTGAATAAAATCCCCACACATTTTGACACACTAGTTATCAATGAAGTGACTTGGCAGGGAAGAAGGATGTTGATTATTTTATTAAATCTTTTCAGATCACAGGGATATGGCTTCATTTGAGCCTACTGTATTACCTGCCTTACAGCCAAGGGAGACAACAGGTATTTTTGTAGAGAATCATAATATAGAGGTTGAAAAATTTGTATTAGTATTCACTTTGTTTGTTCCTAGAAAATTACACATCAAAAAACGTTCATACCATGGCAAGTTTTGGAGGATATCTCTGCATAGGAAACTAGTGTCATTTGTATATTTGGTAACTCTTCATTTCAGCTACAAATGGTTATGGTGATGACAGACAGACAAACCTGGAACCATTTCCATTTACCCAGACTTCCCCAAAACAAAAGGATGAAGATGCGGAGCTACGACGACAGCTTAATAATATGGGCGGAGGTAAAGATATTCACATTATCTCTCAGAACTGACAACTGGTGAATTTTTTCAATTGAAAAGTTATATGCATTGTGTATTTGCTCATTAAATATTGGTACATGTAGATATTAAAAGCCTTAGAAAGAATAGAAAGAGCTTAAGTCTGAAGAAATGTTATGTTTTTATAGCATCCAAGAAGCAATTCATGGCACTAGCCAAGAAGTTTTTCTCCAGAAGGAAGAAGAAGATGACTTTGAAACAGATGTATCCTTCCTTGACTTAGTGTCTTGTCAGATTTAATATACACTGTACTTTTCCCAATAATCTTAACCTTACATAAAGAAAACAGTATGTACATGTACTTAACTGATTATCTGTTATTTAGAAGAATGTGTATAGATCTGTATCATTGTCCTTAACTATGAATCAGTCAGAAGGAGAAGCTGGCTCCATCTATGGTCAACCTGCTGGATAGCGATGAAGAAGACTTTGTCCCTGATGAGGACTCAAACCCATATAATCAAAAGGCTGAGATAGAGCCACTGGTAAGGATTAAACTGATCAATAGCAGTGCAATCTTATTTCAGAAAAGGAATTAATTATTGATAGAATGTTGTTTTGTTCCCCTCCTTTTCCTTTAAGTGTTGTTACTGTGTTGATAGGTACAGTATCCCTAAGCTAGATAATACTGTAAATCACTTTTTATTTGCAAGAACTTTATTTTTGCGTAAATTACGCGAGACAGTGTGCTTGCAAAACTTTCATTCTCGCATATAATAGCATTCCTTAAGATTATATAGAGAAGTAACCACAATACGTGAAATTTTTATCTCGCTAATAAAGAAGTAATGACTTTCTCGTGAAAAAAAGATGTTGCGAGGTACAGATGTGTTTACTTTTATTTCAGCCGGACAGTTTACTGAGGATACCTAATGTACGTACAGCTGATCACCAGCGGACCAGTAGTGTGCCCGTCTATCATGACAATAAAGCCACAGATTTTATATGAATCACCACTCTAGACAGCAGAGAGTCTATAAATGGTGAACCACCAGACTTCACCACAACAAAGCCACATTATATGATATCACCACACTAGACAGCTGAGAGTCTATAAACGGTGAACCACCAGGCCAGTTCTAGTTAGAGACAGTTCTATTTCAGGGTACACAAAGTCCTCCAAGCAATAAGTATCACCTCTCTGAACCTTTGATGCAATACATGTGTTATTAAGAACAATAGTTTGTTTACTTGATTTTGAACAATGGCCAGTTTTGACCTGGCTTTAATATTGTTTTGATTCTCTGTACTTTTTGTAACTGTCTCCAGTGTTTTTTGACAGTTTCTGTATTTTTTTATTAATTTCATTAACATCATTTATTAATCAAGTGTCTCATAGTGTATACTCAATAATTCATCTAAAATACTGTATGTATATTTTATGAAGAACTATTTTATATTACATTGTATAGAAGGCTTATGTCTATAGTTGTGATGAGAAATGTAATCTTACTTATCTGAGTGACTTTTAAATGACTAGCAATTATGTCAAGTATTCAGCTGTATTTTTTTAGCTCACCTCGACGAAGTCGAGATGAGCTTATGCTATACCCCCGGCGTTGGCGTCGGCGTCCGGGTTAAAGTTTTAGGAGCAGGTCCCATTCCCAAGTTACTATAAGCCCTACCTGGACCAAACTTGCATGGATGATGCATCTAGAATGGACACTGCCACACTTGCTTCGGATGCTGGATCTGACCTAGATTTTCCAGATGAGTGACCAGGTTAAAGTTTTTGGAGCAGGTCCATTCCCAAGGAACTATACGCCCCACCTGAACCAAACTTATATGGATGATGCATCTAGGGATGGACACTACCACACTTGCTTCGGATGCTGGATCTGACCTAGATTTTCCAGATGAGTGACCAGGTTAAAGTTTTTGGAGCAGGTCCATTCCCAAGTAACTATACGCCCTACCTGGACCAAACTTGCATGGATGATGCATCTAGGGATGGACACTACCACACTTGCTTCGGATGCTGAATCTGACCTAGATTTTCCAGATGAGTGACCAGGTTAAAGTTTTTGGAGCAGATCCTTTCCCAAGTAACTATAAGCCCTACCTGAACCAAACTTGCATGGATGATGCATATAGGGATGGACACTACCACACTTGCTTCGGATGCTGGATCTGACCTAGATTTTCCAGATGAGTGACCAGGTTAAAGTTTTTGGAGCAGGTCCATTCCCAAGTAACTATACGCCCTACCTGGACCAAACTTGCATGGATGATGCATCTAGGGATGAACACTACACACTTGCTTCGGATGCTGAATCTGACCTAGATTTTCCAGATGAGTGACCAGGTTAAAGTTTTTTGAGCAGGTCTATTTCCAAGTAATTATAAGTCCTTCTTAAACCAAACTTGTATAGATATTGATCTTGGGATGTACACTAACTAGAAAAAATATGATGTGAGATTTGCCTTACTTATAGATAACCTTCGTCGAGGTGAGCTTCGTAATCTTTGATTACCTATGTTTTTTGGGGGGGGGGGGGGGGGGGTCAACTATCAACACATACATGTATACAATTAATTTGATCTTCTTGCACAATTTCCAGTGCCTGAAAAATCTAATACAGTATTACACATGTACCATCTGTGGTCTTTTTCTTGAATTGGAAATCTTGCATTGTTTGTTAACCAATTTTATGATACCTGTGGTGAAATCTACTTTATAAAGAGTTTCTATGAAAATATTAAATTGCCTTATTGTACGCATTTCTGTCACAGAGGGAAAAACAAAGTTATCCTCCAAAAATAGTGATGCTTGAATTAAAACAAATGGAGCTTGAAGTGAAGTATTTGTTAAGATCTTTGAGCTTTAGTTTTACTGTTTTATTGCAGCAACTGTACATGGAAGGATTTTATGTAATAAGTTTCCTTTTGTTTAAAATACATAATGGTTTTCTTCACTTTCTTATGATCCTCATAATTTACTTTCTAAATCATTCTCTTCATAAGGTGCTTTTATACAATCAAATAAGTTGTATCTTTTGTACATATTTAGATATTATATTTATTATTTGTGTATTATTTTTGTACCATTATTAGTTTATATACAGACTTCAGGGTGCTGTATAAAACACTCTGATTAAAGGCTAAATTTAGATTAATCTTGCATTGCTTTAGATTTTAAACATTGAACTTTTCGAATTGCTTTAGATATTGATCTTCTCGAGATGTCTTCATCAGACAACACACATTGCCAATTACAATAGTAACAGACATCATGTAGAATTACATTAATTTTTTTTGTTGGTATCTTGTACACCTGGGTTCTCAGTCTTTGATAATCTTAGTGGTATGTATACTATAAAATTGCTGTACTAATTACAAGCAGGGTAAAGTATAAGAAGCTCTTAATGAAATTACTGACTGGGTATTTCATATCATGATGCAATAATCATACATGTGCATGTATTTCATGTTTCATTAATTGTCACACACAATGCATGTTAAATGTAACCTGTAGTTATCAATTGAACAGCAACTTGATGTTTTTAGTCTTAACAATTTTTTTTTATAGAATGGAAATTTCATTAATTTGATTACACACTGGTTCATTACAAATATCATATGTTACCAAATATAATATCCTTCATCAGATAGAGATGTATTGGCAGGACTTTAATCAACAAAAAGTAGGTTTTGTTCTTTGATTCACATGTGAAAAAGACATTGAGAAACAGATGTACCGTACACTATTAGATACCACATTTAGCTAGATTATTGGGATATTTACAAATTACCTGTTACCTGTACAGTTCTTTTTTCCTGATGTACTCTGAACAAATCATTTAAGACAATTAGACATTACATACATATATTTAAAAATCCTCTCTTATAAATACTGTAAATACTCATTGACATTTTATCAGAAAGTTGTCCACTCTTTATGACTGTGTACAGTACCAAGAAATTATTAAGAAATAAGAGTTGAAAGCCTTGTAGAGAATTGAGAACACAGTTGTTTGCTCTTTGTAAATACCTCGGCTGATTGTAAGACAACAAACAATATAAAGGGTAATGCAATATTACTTCTTATCATTTATTACATTTAACTTCTTAGTATTTTGGTTGTTTTTAGAGTTCTGTTATTGAACTTTTAACAAATTAAATCAGTTTCAAATAATCCAGTGTTTTATCATTTGTGCAGTTTTCTTTGTTAGAAGATAACACACACTTTATTGTCATGCGTAGGGTATGTATGCCTCCTTGGGCCTGTTAACTAGCCTCTATTTATTTTAATTCCATATTAAGCTTTAGTAATGCTGTGTATGTGAGAACTTAATGTCAACATGTACAGACTGTGTGTATTAAAGTATATGTAATACTATCTGATGTAAATTTTGTGTATAGAAAATTGGGGAAAATGATGTTCTCGTACATGAAATAGGGCTCTTTATGCAGTTATTTATAAAACTTGAGGCCAAATTTTCTAGCATTAATCAAAGCAGTGTGATCTACTGACCTACATTAACAAGTTAATATGTACTCTTCATCTGATGTAGTTTTATGTCACTCAGTAAAAATACTCAACATGTACAACTGTATACCATTTTAATTTGATCAGCACATACTGAATGAGAGTTGTGCCTTAGGTCTGTAAGAACCTTCACATAATACCTAATTGAGGTAAAACTTTGAAGAAGTTAAAGAATTTTTTTATAATTCAAAGAAGGGGCTATGCCTCCTGTTTTTAAAATTAATAATATAATTTTTCAGTATTAATGACTTTTTGAGCAAAAAAATGGACTTAATCCCATGATTACAGTTTTTTGCCTCCTAGTATGAGGGAAATACAGTTTTCAACTTCTCCACACTTTCTTAACCATTTATTAAAAGATAAACAGATAATATTTACATTATCTGATTTAATAAAAGCATAACAAATTTGTTACTAAACATTTTACAGCCTTGTTTTTAATTTCAAATAAGACTTTAGTTTAATTGGAGCAGTGAGCTTCCTGTGACCAAGTATTGTCTTGCTAGTGATGACTATTGGTTGTACAGACTACCTCTGTAAGTGTACACTGGTTATGTTAATACTGTGTTATTGTTATTTAGATCAATATGTAACCTGTTCATTATGTGTGTAGATAATAAAGTTAATTTGTTCATTTCTGTTTATCTTGTAGTATTTCAGTCTGTGGTAATTAATGCAATGCTGTGAAGATTCCTTCACTCAGTGTAGTACGGTATTTAGAACAACTCACTCCAAATTTAAACTTATGACTTTGACCTTTGATTTATCAAAATTGTTGATCTCGCGGGAGCAACAATGAAGGATGCCTTCATTCACAGAGAATATTTGGCACAGTATCTTTCAGTTTTTGTTTTATGACAATTACCTCTCACTTGTCAAAATTCTTGATTTTGCAGGAACCCAAGACCTATCTACCCTCCAGATTTACATGTAATTTTTAACTTCCCCCTTCCACAGTATGATCTACAACTTAAAAAAAAATCTCCAAACTTCCTGATTTTCACAATTTTTGGTTTTACAACAAAACATGAAGATACATTAACTAACAGTAATTAAGGACACAAGTCCTTTGAAACAGTACAAATTGTGAGCAGAGCAAACATGCACCTTTCAAAATATCAGAGGTGGGATCAGGTGCCATGGAGGAGTAAGAATTCCCCGTGGACCAGTCACACCCATCTTGTGCTTCTTGGATGATCAGGTAAATGCAAAAATCCATAGACAATTAATTGAGAGAATAATGGCCTAACAATATGTATTAAAAACATCAGTCAACATTTGACTTAACAAATAATGATAGATTGTCTTTGCTATCAAGTTCATTTTATCAACCCTTGAATTGGCAGAATGTTGACTCTAAACGAGACTGTATATCCTTGTATCATCAACTTATTTGTCAATAGCTTGCCTCATTTTAGAAATTGTACGTAGAACATGCTTTTGTGTATCGAATCAACTGGGAGACAAACTCCATATGCAGGTGATAATGGTATATTGCTACATTAAGGGAAGTTGACAGTAGAGAAGTTGAAGTCATCATGTTTTTCATTAAGTTTAGTTGCTACTTTACCATTAATGTCTTTCTCTAGTAAACTATCCAAATATGAAACAGATGTGTCAGACTCTGAGGTTTCTTATTTTGAGTTCAAAGGAATAAATTGAATGTAGGAATGAAAATGAATATTGTTAATTGATAAAATTTTGTCGATTTATCTAAAGAGCAAATTGAAGGCTACAGCAAGAGAATTCTTACCAATAACACTTGAGCAATAGTTATACAGATGCTTCAGTGATGCTGAATTATCAAACGATTTTCAATCATTAAAATTTCAAGGTGCCCAGATGGATGCATGCTAAACATAAATTGGGAAATTTAAATTGTTAGAATAGCCTGAGAAAATGTTCTCTGAAACTTTGCAGTAAGAGAATGTCTGACATATATATCTAAAACTTTTCAAAAATATTTTGAACTGTAAAGTAACATTTTCCCACTTTTCACCATGCTGTATCAAAAGGGTAGTTCTTACAGTCATGGGTCAACAAAGTTAATGCACAGAGAAGACCTGGATAACTTTGTCATATCAAAGTAAATTTTAAGAAGTTTTACCTTTTTATAAATACTACTGTAAAAGCAGAAATATTCGCTGGGGATTAAATTTCGTTTATTTCACTGTTTACAATTATCAACGAAATTAAATCCCTCACAAATTTTTTATATGACTATATATTGAGTAGGGTAACTTTCTAAACAACGAAATTTAATGCCAACGAAACCTTTTTTCAGATGACCAGGGCTCGAAATTATTGATGGCCCGCTGGTCTGGGGCCAGTGAATTTTCAATCTGTGCTAGTACATTGCAGAAGGCATGTGCAATTCAGCATTTTTTTTATGCATAATAAAATTCATTTATAGTTGGGCTAGCTAACTTGACAGGGTTGTGTGTCCAAACTTCTTCTGTTTCTTGTTTTGTTAAATTGTACTTCTAAGTATCACAATATAACAAAATATTACTATCATTATTAAGGTTCTGGGCCAGTCTTTTGAAAATCTACTGACCCAGTGGGACAATGAAAGTACTAAGCTGACCAGTAAAAATTTAAGGCGATAGCCCGAGTGACTAGTAAACAAAAATAATTATTTCTAGCCCTGATGACAAATCAACGAAATTTTATCCCCATGAAAATTTGCATTTCTACAGTACTTTCCAGTGAGCATTTGTGACGTGTTTTCTAAAAATGTAGACATGGCCACCATACAGAGAGTATAAAAATCTATAAAAAGAAAAAGTACAAACTGCAAAATATTATCTCCATTTATTTCTTTTTCATTTGACCCTTTTTCCCAACCAAAATTTTGGTTTTTGCTTAAGAGTCTTTGTAATATCTCCTGCAGATCGACGAATATTTTTACGTTCTTTATGATGCTCCCTCGACTTTTGTTGTCGACTTATCTCTCTTTCACTCTTCTTAAAGGTGAAGGTCAGCTCTCTGTTGCCTAGTGATCCAGATTTAGAGATAATGCTGTCATCTTGTGTATCCTGCAATCTTTCTGCCAAAGATTTCTTGGCTAGCTTCTTCTGACTTGTACCCTTACTATCAAGTTCAACACCATCTTTAATTTCATAGAACTTTGGACCACTTTTCTTCTCAAAATTTTCTGCCCGCCTGGCCTGAGCTGCCTCAATACGTAATTTTTTGTGCTGTTCTTTAAGTTCTTTTGTCCATGTGTGTTCATCATCTGAACTTTCACTTTCACTATCACTCCCACGTTTCTCCTCATCATCACTGACTTCAGCAAACTGTTCCATCTTGGCCTGCTTCTTCTTGCGAACCTTATCCAGCTTGGACACCACAGGATTGACCAGTTTGTATTCCTCGCTATTCACATTGATCTGGAATTCTGGGTTAGAAAACATGGCTGAGAATCTGTCATCCTCTAATAAAGACGTGGTTTCCTTGACTTTTTTCTTGTTGGTTCCTATTTCTTTCACATCCATCAGTTTCTCTGCCAGGTCTCTGTTAACTTTCGGAAGTTTCTTCAGCCTAACTCGATTGGCTCTCTCCTGGTCAATCTTTTCTCGAATCTTATTCTTCCTGTACTCTTCATAGGCAAATGGTTCAGCAATGGCTTTAGCCTTGTTGTACAGCCTGTTGTCCATGAAAAAACCATGCATGTAAGCTCTCAGTAATGTTGATCCTATTAAGTGCGTCAGACCAAGTTCCTCCAATTCTTTCCTAGTTACAAATTTGTAGTCATCATACACAATCTGAGCCGTGCTTTCCTCCAGTTCCTCTGTCAGATTGTCCAGAAATGAGCACCATTTTGGGGCAGTCCCTAATGTTGGTATGTAATATGACAAGATTTTTTGGCCTTCATTAGCCATGAAAAGAAGTCCAGAGTTGGGAAGAAGACAAAGATCACTAAGATTTGTGCCTGGTTCAATGGAAGTGAAAGCCTTTCCTGTTTCACGATCCCACAACTTTAGGATTTTTGTGTCCATAGACAGGACAAGATTCAGCGATTCTTGAAACTCAATTGATTTTATGGGCAGTTCATAATGGTGATCCTTCACAAGGAGAGGTTTGCTGGACCGAATGTCATACAATAAAATATGTCCAGTACTTGTTCCTACAGCCATATTCAATGCATCAGCAAACTTCAGTGCAGTCACGTTTGGTAGTTCCTGAATATCTTCAATATGATTGGATAGTGTGATGTCTAGAATTCCTGCAGCTTTGCGTACACGTGGGTCAAAGCATTCCACAGTTCCTGATGCTGTCCCACAGGCTAGCAATCCATGTGCTGGATTTATCTCACAGCAGTTGATGTCTGGTGACTTTGTAGTGAGGGGACTAAGAAATCTACCCTGTTCTAAGTTGATTCTATAAACATCTGAGCCAATTCCACCAATATACAAGTCACAACTTGGGAAATGATAAGCCATATCTCTGCCATATTTTGGTATTCTCAGTCTATAATACCTTCCAAATTGTGAATGCAATTCTATGTACCTATCACATTGTAGAAACACTAACTTCCCGTAATCTTCTCCTAGAAATTGGAACTTGACGACATCAGAATCAAGACCTCTTTCAAATTTGAGCGACATCTGTGCAGTATCAAAGCATTTAATTCTTGGTTTGTAAGTTCCTGTGGCACATATGTATTGTCCGTCCGGTGAGACTCCGACACAGTGACTAGCTGTCGGCATGTCAAAATCCTGCAGAAGCTCGATTCTTCTCCTCACATCAATATCTTGCTTCTGTAAGGAGCGCCTTTGTCTGAAATAGAAACAAATTATAAGTAAAATATCATGAGTAATTTCTTATTTGATTTTTGCAAAATATAACCAAATATGGCTAAAGGATACAAACTGTTTTTTTTTCTTATGTTTCTATCCTGAAGTTTTCAGATGGGCATAATTTTTTCCCCTTAGATTCTCACCTTGTTGAAAATTGTGCAGGTAGGTTGGGAAATAGTTTTTACTCAGACATGAAGATATTTCCCTTTCATAGTAGATGCTACAATTTTGAAGTTATCCCATCAAATTTCGACAATTTTGGTCAGAAAAATGACAATAATTAAGATATTTTTTATTATGCCATGTTTAGCTTTTTTAACACAAAAATATTAAAAGAGCAGGTATCTCAAATCAATTTTCAAAATGGTTGATTAATTTTAGATAGGGAAAACGATCAAAAAGAATAGGCTGTGAGGATTTTTGATGGTATCGAGACAGTAACAAAATAGACGACTTTCACATTCTTAAGAGTTATCTCTCTTTGTCGGCGCAATGCTCATTTTTCTCACTATATCCTATGTAACTTATCTGTAAATATTTTAAACCTTCAAACGCTTTCGGACTATTTTCTACCGTTCCTATATTGCCAAGGTATGGGGCAACACAGACAGCATAATTAACATATATATACAGATATAATTTGTAAGACTCTGCCCCATAAATTAAGTAATATTATACAGGGAAAACGATTGAAATACCCCCCCCCCCCCCCAAAAGGGAAATAACTTTTGTAAATGTGAAAGTTGTCTTTCAACTGCGCTTACACAAACCTACACTAAACTAGTCATCTAGTAACGAATTGATTTCTGACATTCTGGTTACAAGTTCTTGTATCAAAAGTTGACTAAAAACCATAAATAATATTAGATGGTTCATCTGCTGACTTTAACATTAGAAGAAACCTATCCTTTGCGATTGTTCAAAACTGAAGTGGAGCCCGTTCCCTCTTGTTTGTAAATTTCAGGTAATCAGGTATCCTACAGATACCCAAAAGGAACTACGTGTAGTAAAGTTGGAGTCTGATTATGTATTGGATGATATAAATACTATATATATAGGCCTTAATGTTATTATTGAAGTCATGGCATGGGTACACTAAAGTAGTGTCTCATACAACATTACCTGTCAGACAGCCATTCTGGAAGAGATTTTCCAGCGCTCAGATTATAGATCTTCACGTTATTTGGATTAGAAACCTGCATTATGTCAGCTTTTTAAGAAATAACTGACTTTACGTCCTTTAGAATACATCAAGAATGATCAACATCATAGGCCTGATAACGAACATGTGTTTACAACATTAACCGGAAATGCCCAAATGAACAAACTTTTCTATTCCGGATAATTTTGAAATGCACATTTTTTTTTTGGTCTGAAAAAGTAGGCCCGACGTCAAACTACTTTTGTAATAAATGAACATGTACAAAATATTTAAGATGACATTATGAAGAGAAAGTATATCTTTGCATGTAATATAGAGAAGGGCACAAATAAATCCATCCAGTTCGGAAGTAAATTCTAATCAAGTGAAAATTTGTTTCTTTTTTTTTTTTTCATGATAGCGTAATCTGATTTAAACATTTTTGACATCACTTCATTTAACTCCTGAATACTAAACATAATTTTGAAGTTTTAGAGGGTCAGACAAGCGGCGTAATTTTATGATGTCTGGTAATGCTGTACACCTTTTCTGAATAAAATTTTGGGGAAATACCACCTCTCTCTCTCTCTCTCTCTCTCTCATTTATATATATATATATATATATATATATATATATATATATATATATATATATATATATATATATATATATATATATATATATATATATATATATATATATATATATATATAATTTCAAAAACAAAATGAAGAACCGGTACAGTTTTGCTGGGTGTATTAAAAATAAAAATCCAAAAAATCACAAAATATTTTCTGCAAGCGCTTTCGCCATGTTAGGCTCTTCAGGCAGTTATACAAAATGATGTATATTTTGTATAACTGCCTGAAGAGCCTAACATGGCGAAAGCGCTTGCAGAAAATATTTTTTCTTTAAAAGAATAGAAGGATGTTCATCATTTGATATCTATTCAAAACTCCAGGAAATGTATGCTGATTTTTTGTTCCAAGAACATCTTATGGTATTATGATTTTAAATGAAGAATATCTCGGAAAATTACAAATCACAAAATCAGTGGAAAAGGTACATTGTAAAGACATTTACGAGAATGCGTATGACCTTAACAATTAGATTCGTGTTAGACTTCATAAAATTATGTTATACTCAACATCAGAAAAAGGAAAAAAAAAGATCAAATTCAGATTTATTTAAAATCTAACGAGACCTGTTTAAATATTAACTTCCATCAAAATTGTCTTGTGACTGTGGATATATCGAAAAGAGGAAAAGAGGAAATCTATAAAAGATGAATGAATAAATAAATTGGATACTTGAAGCAATTTTTTTTTTATGTTATATACCATGAATTGGTCCTTCTGTCGTACATGTGTAGAATGACTACTTGGAGGTTGTGTTATAATACACACTTACTATTCATTCACTATTTATTGAAAGATATAAATTGTAAACCAATAATCTCTAAGAAAAAAAAACATGCTATTATCATGTTGTAAATTTTGAATTTACTATAGGGGGAGGTAAATGCAAAATTTACAACATGATACTATGCTAGTAAATTATTTGTTGAAAACGAAAAACATTTGGCACTCTACTGTTCTGTTTATGATCTCCAAAAAACAAGAACAAAAACAAAACAAACATACGGAAAAAAAAACCCAGAAAATGAAGGAAACAAAAACGAAAAATTTGTCACACCCGCAGTGAGCCCCATGTACTGATCATGTACATGTAGACGGAATTCGTAGTCTTTAGTACAAAAACAAAGACAATTGGTATAAAATATGTCTGTCATATAATACGAACCAATGATAGGTATTTCATAACAAGGTCATTATAACGACAATAGAATTTACGAAATGCTGACTTTAAATGAGGTTGTTGAAATCCCGGTAACATCAACTTATCTGTCAGTAGCCAAAACTGATCGTACCCAGAGCATGCCATTGAGTATTAAATAGGTTTGGAGACATAAACACCATTTGCAGGTGATAGCGGGACATTACAACATAAATGAGGAAAGCAGACAATGAATCTTAGACGGAATATTTCGTAGTTTTTAGCATAAAAAGCTGCGTGAAGTCGACCCGTTTGTTATCAGTTAAGTTGTTAGTTGGCCTTTATTGTCTATAGTCAGTAAAACTAAAACATCCAAATTTGAGACAGATGTGTCAGACTCTGTGACTTTTATTTCAAGTTCACTGGGATATATCGAGTCGACATATATAAGAATTCAAGAAATTATTACGGATGGAACGTCGATATATCTGAATGTTGAGTTGAAAACCATAGCAAGTGTTTTCTTCTTCTCATTTAGAAGTTTTTGAATAAACTCTGCTTCATAAGACAGGGACTTAGTAGAGCATTTGCTGGACCCGGCAATGCATTTTTGTAAGGATTTTTATTAAGTTTAGGAATCCAGTATAGATAAGGTAAACCGAACTCACCTTCGTTGACTGGAATGTTAGAAGTATTAAAAACTGAGAATTTCATCCTTTGAAAGTGAACTGTGAGTATAAGTTGAATTTCCAGATGTAGATTTAAAACCAAATTCTTTTTAAAAAAAGTTATAATAACGAGCCTTACAAACAAAGACGATATTGTTACAAACCTTTTCTGCTGGAACCATAACATATTGTTCATGTAGTCTCTCTAATTCTTTTATAAGGATTGGTGGTTTGCATATTGCCTTTTTACCTTATAACGCGATCCTTTTATTTCTAAAACATTTAAGGATAACCGCTCCTCAGCCAGGAGAACTCTTAAATTTATCATTTAAATAAAAAGTCTCAAAATAAAGCTTGATTGCAATTTTTCACTTTTCACTGTATCTCAATATGATTCAAGGATATAAGTCTTCGAAACAGTCTTGTAAAAAATAGATTTTTGTACTCCATAAAAATACAAAAACAAGTAGTTTTAGAGAAATAATTACGCGACACCAATCATATTCAAAAAGATGGCTACTGTGTAAAGTGTAAGAGGCGTTTTTGAAACCAGTTTGTGTAGAAAAACGCCTCTTTTGGTATAGAATTGGAGATGTGCTGTAGATGTGTAATAATATTTTGGAGTATTCATTTTTATCCTTGGGGCCCCATGTGGGATGGAAAAACTATTTTTTTAAAGTCCTCAGAACTTATCTAACAGAGGCCAAATAATATTCTGCAAAATAATTGGTGTCGTGTAAATATGCAATAAGGTTTTGAAATTTTCATTTTAATCATTGGGGCTAATTTAGGGTTTTGAAAAACATCTTTTTTCTACACAAACTGGTTTCCAAAACGCCTTTTATGTTATACTCAGTAGCCAAATCATCTTTTGGAATATGACTGGTGTCGTGTAAAGATGCAATAAGGTTTCTGAAACTTGATTTTAATCATGGGACGCAACAAGAGGTCGAAAACAACATTTTCTAGGGGGGAAATCTTGGCCCCAATGAAAAAAAAAATGAAAATTTCAAAACATTACTGCATACATACACGAACTATATTGCAGAATATGATTTGGCTTCTGTACAAGAGGAGTTCTGAGAACTTTTTTTTAAAAAAATCGTTTTTCCACCCCACGTGGGGCCCCAAGGATAAAAATTAAAATTCCGAAACCTTATTCTACATAACTATACCAATTTAATTTATACCTTATGATTATTTAGCTACTGCGTGAAATGTTCAGGAGGAGTTCTCGGAACCAGGTGTCGTTCTTCGTCCCTTAATTGGCCCCCAAGATTGAAAATTCCAAATTTACATTACAGGACTCCACCAATCATATTCCAAAAGATAAATTGGCTGCTGTTTAAAATGTAAGAGGGGTATGCGAATAAGATAGAGTGATAGACATAGAGACGGACGAATAGAGTAGGATAACAACAATATACAGGCCCGTAGGAAGCAATTTCAGTTTGGGGGGGGGGGGGGCACAGCCAAACATTTTTCAGTTGACAGTTGAGGGGGCACTACCAAAAATTTTCTGACAAGCAAAAATAAAAAAAAAAAAAAAAAAAAAAAAAAAAAAAAAAAAGGTCATCAGGCGGTTTTATTGAGGGGGCACATGCTTATAGTATCTATGTTTACTATAGTAATCTATATATCGGCAAAATTATTGGGGGGGGGGGGCACGGCCCCTCCGTGCCCCCCCCCCCGGTTCCTACGGCCATGATATAACCGAATTCTTTCAAGTGCACGTAAAATCGAGTTATCCGAGTTAACGAGGAATAAAAAAGAAGTAAGATAACAGTGATCGAACTACGAAAAAAAATAGACCAGAAATCAAACTATGAAAATTGATTTAGCTACTACGTACAATGAAATTTCCAAACCTTACTGCACATCTAAAAAAAAAAATCACTACTCGTATTCCAAATGATGAATTGGTTATAAGAAATTTGGGAACCACGTTTTTGTAGAAAAAAGGCCTTTTTCAACCCCCAATTGCCCCCCCCCCCCCCGGGTGGATTTTTTTTTTTTAACTTGCTGCACATCTACTGGACAGCACATATCATATTCCAAAAGACAAATTGGCTACTGCTGAAAATGTAGGGAAAATTCAGAGAACTTGTTTTTTTTCTGTAGAAAAATGTCGTATTTCGAGCCCAAATTGGCCCCTAGGTCTAGAATATATATAGGACAAAACCAATCATATTGGTTTGAACATATTTTATTGTAAAAATAGTATACAAATTGTTTGAACACAAGTTCTAGAAACTTGCCAGGTTCTCACTATAAATGGCTACAACTGTCAATGTCTATAGAAAAAAAACTTTGATATACAAACATGTTTGTTTTAAACATACATTCTTTACATGATAATTATATAACCTTTAACTAGAGTTTTAGTGTTAGGTTGCAATAATTAATTGAATCTACCAGAATCTCATAAATTTTTGTACAGATTGAAAAATATATTTATTGATTTCAACATTTTGTGATTCATCTCCCCACAAGAAGTAGGTGAAAATCAATAATATTTAATTTAATATTTGGTTTAATAAGACTTAAAAGGTTTCTAAATAGTTCCTCCCTAGCATGTTGATGCTTATTACAATTAATCAAAGAAGAAATGATATAGGTCACATGAACAATTAGGACTATCAATAATGTTTCTTCTATAAAGATCATAATTTAGAATACAGCTGTGTTGTAGTTTAGTATGTATGATGTTAATATGTCATATCTTAAAAGGTGAGTTGGCTACTGCTTAAAATGAGAGATTTTGAGGAGGAAGATTTTGTAGAGAACATACCCCCCCCCCCGGCCATTAGATTTTAGGGTGAAAATGAAAATTCTGAAATCTTATTGCACATCCTTTTATATTCCAAAAGATGAATTGGCTACTTCTTAAAATGTAATCTTGACGAGTTTGTGGAAGAAGCCCTTTTCGACCGCCAAATGGCACTAGAGTGAAAAAGAAAAATTAGAAACTTTATTGCACATCTATATGCTTCACATTCTGAAAGTAATTGGCTATTGCTTAGATTAAAATTTAAGATGAGTTTGAGGAAAACGATAATGTGATGGACAGATTGACGGACCAGGATAACAATAATATATCCGAACTTTCTTTAGAAAGTGGGGGTATATAACAAAGTAAAATAATACATTTATTCTTTGGAAATAGGCATTAATCATTGACATGAATATGTATATAATTCAAACCACTAATTTGTTCGTTTATAAACGAGATATTTTCAAAAATTATCTGTCAGAAATTTTAAATTAAATGTACACTTTTTAAAAACGATCCATTGAAATATTTCTCATGGTTAAAAAAAGATACAGAATTTAAAATTTCAATACGAAGTAAGTATTAAGATAAAAGGAATGTGAAAGTGGGTTCTTTGATCCATTAATAAATGCCTTGCATCACAGTTATAACCGCTTAGCTGTTATAATAATCCCTCTATTGATGTTTTAGCGAGTTTATTTGATTTTACGCGGTCCAGTTTGTTTATTTAAAAGGATACGTACGCCGACAAGTATCCGTTAGGCTGAACAGTAAATACCTCGGCATTCGTCGTAAAGCACTTGTAGTCTATTGTAGAGTTGATTGGCTTTCTTAGGCAGTGTCTACCAAAGCGAGAAGCTTTCTTCTTTCAAATTAAACGCGGACCGAATCAGAGAGCGTCAAAGCGACAAGAGACTCCGAATTGTTAACGTTAGTAATGTTTTATTATATAAAAAATATCAAGAATTCAATCTTTCTTTCATTGGATAATAAAAAGCATTAATTGAATTTCGTTTCAGTTTTTTAACTTTAAGTGTGCGTAAACACTTCATAAATTCTTTTCCATTTGATAAGCCGTGCTACATGTATTTCTACAAGCTATAAATTTTGAATACCTGCAATTGTTCGTGAAGGTAAAGTTAATTTGTGTGCTTCCTTTGGATCGGAACATCACGAATTCCTGAGGGTACGCACGGACGTTATAATTATTAGTGAAATATCAGAAATGGAAGACTTTCGATTCTTTCATATGATGGTGCTAAGTGCAATCCTTCTCCAGTTCCTTATGTTTGAGAGTACAATTGCTTTTAAGGACCTAATGGCAGACCCAGATCCATTTTCTAACGTAGAGACAAATGAAGAGGTAAGTAATTTGTTAATGAAAATTTCAGTCTTTAAAACTAACACACTTTGTTCCGAAATTAGAATGAATTTAAAAAGTAATATTCTTAATTTTTCCACGGAGGGAAAATAGCGAAGGACGAGCTTTAGGAATTATACACTTTTACACACAAATAATTCTTTAAGAATATAACATATCATCTTATCGTGAAAAAAAGATGTCCGTGCATTTCGAACGCTGGCTGTACCAGTGGATCCGGACAAAATCCATGTACACACCCCTTCTTATATCATCAGACAAAAGGAATCTGAGCCGAATGCATAATAATGAGATCGGGTTATAATAGGAAACAGCGCCAAAGAAAGTACCAATTTATATAATCAAATTGAAAACCCGATGCTTATAAAAGGGGTATGTAAATTTCATCTTTTTTAAAGGCGTGTTTTAGGCGATTAATGGGAAAACAGACAATTTGTCTGCGAATTTCGTCTTCGTTTCAAGGTTGCATTTGAGAAATCGGATTGTTTAGAAATGTTTTTGCACTTCGACATCAGAAATGTAATGTTTCGCCGACCTGGCGACTTTTTGAGCATAAAACATTTAGTGTTGTAATTCTAAATTGGAAAAAATTCAAATATTGAAAGATAGATGATTGAATTCAGTTGTGGGAGACCTGAATGAAGGGTCGGGGTGACTGTTTAAATTTAATACATCTACCACTTTTACTGGCAAAAGCTTCAAAGCTACTATGGTAATTACTCGCTTATCTATTTAAAATCTCAGTGAGATAACATCGAAAACGTACAAGCCATTAACCACAGTAATATATATGACCAAATTCAATTATTAATATTTTTGCAAACATTCAATTTTTAGATTTTACAAGTAATAGAAATTAATTCTTAGCAGTAAATGATGTAGTCCCATGAAGTAAATAGCACTATTGCTCAAAATCCAAGACTGCTGGAAGAGATACATGCAGTTACGTTCGCTTGGTAAGAAGTGTTACACTTCCGGAATTTTGAACGTTACATTATAACGTTTAGTTGACAGAAACAGATTGGTGTGATGTACAATTTCTAAAATTAAAGATTATTCTTAACGGAGAAAATAACAAATCAAAAATAATATGAAAATATCAAGTTTTGCTATCGGAAGAAAATATGGAAGAACAAAGAAAGATCTGTGGTGGTACAGAGGAAATTTGGTCATTTTTTTTTTTTTTTTTCAGTTTTTATATTTAAAAATTCTAACAAAGTTTAACACCAACAGGTTTAGGTAAGAAAACTGAGGCTATAAATACTTCAGAGTTCCTAGGATTTTTGTAATATTAGATTCGAAATGAGTAGAATGAAATATGGAGATAACGAACAGTAGTCAAACTCAAAGTCCATTTGAACAATACAGATCGGGAGCAGAACAAACAGGGACCTCCAAAAACATCAGAGGTGGGATCAGGTGCCATGGAGGAGAAAGCATTCCCTGTCGACCCTATCACACCCTCCTAGTGCTCCTTGTCATGATCGGGAAAACGGAAAAATCCGTAGACAATTAAGTGTGTAAATAATGGCCTAACAATTAATTTGAAAAACGTCATTCAGCATTTGACTTAATGATAGGTTTTATTTGCTGACAAGGTCAAAGTACCGACCATAAAACTTGCGAAATGATGACTTCAAACGAGACTGTTGAGATATCCTGGTTTCATCAACTTGTTTGTCAATGGCTTACCTCGTTTTAGAAATTGTTAATACGTGAAGCATGCTCTTTCGTATCGATTCAACTCGGAGACAAAAACCCCATATGCAGGTGATAATGGTATATTGACCATTGAAAAATTGAAGCCATCACGTTTATCAAAATTGGCAAAGAAAATTCGGACTAGAATTATGAACATATTTATTGTTCAAATATATTTGTTTATTTATATTTAGCAACAATATCTCATTTTCATTATATTTCATTACCAAAGAGTTTTGTAACTTTGTTAGATTGTGTTGATGAAGAAAATATTGGTTATACATGTAGTGTGTAAAATTGTGTTTCACATATATACTCAGTGGCTACTACCATGAATTATATGTCACTGTCCTAGTTATTTGAAAGTGTAAAATAACACAATAATCATAGGTCTACAATGCAAACTGCACAATAGGTGGTTATTCATTTTTCATTCGCATCAGTGGAATTTTTTGTCATCTGAGTAAACGTCATCCTTAAAACACATTTAATGTTTGAATTTTCTGCCGGATCATTTTAGATTAATCTGTCAAACCACTGTAAATACATGCACGGAAGTCATATTATCTTTTTCTTGACATATTCCGAGAGTTGTCAGAACATGTATCTGTGATAGATTAGGAGCTCGTCACGGTTCACTGGTCTCAGGCTCCTGTACGAGATACCGATTGATAATGAACAGACACATTGATCTTGTAAGATTTTCTCTCAATGCACAAAAATAACATCCGTGAGAAGTGTGTCGCCTCCCTCTTCATTTAGAACATTCAGTTACGTTTGATTAAGTCTGTCTGAAATCCCTTAATTCATGGATGCATGTATGATGAAGCAAAGAAAAAATGATGTTAAAAAACGGTGATATGTGCTAATTAAATTGCCCGAAAAGATACATTTAAAAGATTTGATTAAAGCCTAAAATATTCGTATAATCTTATCGTTGCAAAATGAAAGGAATGCAATTATCCATAGAGATGGAATATGGACGTTTCCATCAATTCATTGTCCATTAATGACAAAATTTAGGAATTTTTGATTCAGTCACTACAAAAAAATGCTATAGATACTCATTCGAGAAAACTCGCATTCTTTTCTGATGATAAAGGCAAAGACAAGGAACAACGATCAATCTCATAAATTTAGTAAACAAAACGAATTGTGAACAAGACAAAAAGACAGAATTCTGGAAACAACAGAGATGGGATCAGGTGCCTAGGAGGAGTTAGCATTCCACGTCTATCGGTCACACCTGCCGTGACCCCTGTGTATTGATCAGGTGCCTAGGAGGAGTAAGCATTCCACGTCTATCGGTCACACCTGCCGTGAGCCCTGTGTATTGATCAGGTGCCTAGGAGGAGTAAGCATTCCACGTCTATCGGTCACACTTGCCGTGATCCCTGTGTATTGATCAGGTGCCTAGGAGGAGTAAGCATTCCATGTTTATCGGTCACACCTGCCGTGAGCCCTGTGTATTGATCAGGTGCCTAGGAGGAGTAAGGATTCCGCGTCTATCGGTCACACCTGCCGTGAGCCCTGTGTATTGATCAGGTGCCTAGGAGGAGTAAGCATTCCACGTCTATCGGTCACACCTGCCGTGATCCCTGTGTATTGTTCAGGTGCCTAGGAGGAGTAAGCATTCCATGTCTATCGGTCACACCTGCCGTGATCCCTGTGTATTGATCAGGTGCCTTGGAGGAGTAAGCATTCCATGTCTATCGGTCACACCTGCCGTGATCCCTGTGTATTGATCAGGTGCCTAGGAGGAGTAAGCATTCCATGTCTATCGGTCACACCTGCCGTGATCCCTGTGTATTGATCAGGTGCCTAGGAGGAGTAAGCATTCCACGTCTATCGGTCACACCTGCCGTGAGCCCTGTGTATTGATCAGGTGCCTAGGAGGAGTAAGCATTCCACGTCTATCGGTCACACCTGCCGTGAGCCCTGTGTATTGATCAGGTGCCTTGGAGGAGTAAGCATTCCACGTCTATCGGTCACACCTGCCGTGATCCCTGTGTATTGATCAGGTGCCTAGGAGGAGTAAGCATTCCATGTCTATCGGTCACACCTGCCGTGATCCCTGTGTATTGATCAGGTGCCTAGGAGGAGTAAGCATTCCATGTCTATCGGACACACCTGCCGTGAGCCCTGTGTATTGATCAGGTGCCTAGGAGGAGTAAGCATTCCACGTCTATCGGTCACACCTGCCGTGAGCCCTGTGTATTGATCAGGTGCCTAGGAGGAGTAAGCATTCCACGTCTATCGGTCACACCTGCCGTGAGCCCTGTGTATTGATCAGGTGTCCAGAAGGAGTAAGCATTCCACGTCTATCGGTCACACCTGCCGTGAGCCCTGTGTATTGATCAAGTGCCCAAGGGGAGTAAGCATTCCACGTCTATCGGTCACACCTGCCGTGAGCCCTGTGAATTGATCAGGTGCCTAGGAGGAGTAAGCATTCCATGTCTATCGGTCACACCTGCCGTGAGCCCTGTGTATTGATCAGGTGCCTAGGAGGAGTAAGCATTCCACGTCTATCGGTCACACCTGCCGTGAGCCCTGTGTATTGATCAGGTGCCCAGAAGGAGTAAGCATTCCACGTCTATCGGTCACACCTGCAGTGAGCCCTGTGTATTGATCAGGTGCCTAGGAGGAGTAAGCATTCCACGTCTATCGGTCACACCTGCCGTGAGCCCTGTGTATTGATCAGGTGCCCAGGAGGAGTAAGCATTCCACGTCTATCGGTCACACCTGCCGTGAGCCCTGTGTATTGATCAGGTGCCTAGGAGGAGTAAGCATTCCACGTCTATCGGTCACACCTGCCGTGAGCCCTGTGTATTGATCAGGTGCCCAGTAGGAGTAAGCATTCCACGTCTATCGGTGACACCTGCCGTGAGCTCTATGTATTGATCAGGAATACCGAGTACACCGTAGTCAAATTTAGTTCGATCTTCTCCTCAAACAATGTGATGTCCTCACTTGTTGTATAATTAGAGTCAGGTATGCAAAATTTACAACATGATAACTTGTAAATTTTGCAATTACCTTGACTTAATATATTCAAAATTTACAGTATAATATAGGCTCCAGTTCCAAGATTTTCTGAGGTACCCTTATGCGAGATTAGTTTAGATTTTGAAGCTGGGAAAAGGTTATTCAAAAAGAAAAGATGAAATTTTCATCCGTCTGTGTTCCTTTTCGGTACCAAGGTTCAATATAGCTTTTGATATACTTTTTTGTAAATTTGTTCTTTTAGCAACCTTCACGTATCGAAATTTGAGGCTATATTT